GATTACATAACTCTGGTACATGTAATCTGTTACTCCCCAACACTGCGTATAACGACATGTTTTCATGCTGAGGTTATGGAGAAGAGTCTCTACTCCCCAGATTCCTTTGTTTGAGGAACTGATGAACACCAAATCAAGAATTTAGTTTTTTTTGGCCGGCAGCTCGATGAAATAAGCCGTGACAGCATAATCCCTACACACCACAACTGAACAACGCCCAGAGTCACCGTGAACACCACAAACAAACAAAACCACTCACCCATCACACTGTTGTGTTTCCTTTAAAGTCCAGTGCGGTTTATTTGTGAAAAAAGTTCGAAAATAAACCATTTAATGACAGTGCGTCTAATAATCCAGAGTGACTAATAGTGTGGAAAATACGGTACTTTTTGGCAAATAATAACACATCTGCATCTTGTATTTTGTTAAAATTATATTCATATGAAGTATTAATATTTATATTTAAATAATAATATGATGTATTTACATTTGTTGCTGAATTCTCGTCACCTGACAAACTCGAGCTCAAACAGTGACGGTCACATGTGCAGAGTTCTTTTGTGCAGATAATGACTCATGCAGAGTTTTCAAAGAACAGTGGATGATTGATTATTTTTTTGTTCAGTGTGAAGAGCGTGCAGAAAGTGTGGCGGTTTTCAGAGAACATAATCTGCATCATTAGGCTCAAACTATTCTGTTATACGACCGACCCAACCCCGACCCCCAGAGAAAAAAGTTTGGTGACCCCCTAAATGATCTTCAAAAGATTTTAATTTCACTTGAGGACACCTGTAGGAACTCTGCACCATTATTCATCTTTGCTGCATGAATAAAAGGAATAAGAAGATAAATCTTATAAATCCTGCTCCTTTCACAGATAAAAAATAAATAATCAAACCCCAAACCAAGTCCCCAAAGAGCCATAATACATGTTACAATAATCCATGTGTCGTTCGCTCATTCGTTTTTCAATATAAAACCAAAAATAAGAAAACAAAAAAACAACAGTTTTCTTCATTATTTGTCTCCAAAACTAAAATGAAAAAAACATAATGATTCGTTTTTTTTCAGTTTTCGATTTTGTGTTTAAATGAAAAATGGAAAAAAAAAACGGATAACGACCGTTTCCCGTTTACGTGACTTCAGTGACTGAGATGCCGGACTGAACCAGGACTGATCCAGGTCCGGGACCAGACCGGGACCAGACCGAGACTGAGACTGAGACCAGACTGAGACCAGACTGAGACCAGACTGAGACCAGACTGAGACCAGACTGAGACTGACAGACTGAGACAGACTGAGACCAGACTGAGACCAGACTGAGACTGACCAGACTGACCAGACTGGACAGACCGGGACCAGAGCGGGACCAGACCAGGATCAGACTGAGACTGAGACCAGACTGAGACCAGACTGAGACCAGACTGAGACCAGACTGAGACCAGACTGAGACCAGACTGGGACCAGACCGGGACCAGACTGAGACCAGACTGAGACCAGACCGGGACCAGAGCGGGACCAGACCGGGACTAGACCAGGACCAGACCGAGACTGAGACCAAACTGGGACCAGAGCGGGACTGAGACCTAGACCAGACCGAGACCAGAGCGGGACTGAGACCGAGACCAGACGAGACCAGACCGGACCAGACGGGACTGAGACCGAGACCGGGACCAGACCAGGACCAAACCGGATGCTCAGAGCCCACGACAGGGCCAGAGCTCAAAGCTGAGGCTCAGAGTCAAAGCTCGGAGTCCACTCTGGTCCCAGTCCTGGTTCAGTCCTGGTTCAGTCCTGGTTCAGTCCTGGTTCAGTCCTGGTTCAGTCCTGGTTCAGTCTGTATGCCATGCAAAAGTCCGGCATCGCAGTCACGTAAAGGGGAAGCGGCCGTTATCCGTTTTTTTCCATTTTTCATTTAAACACAAATTTGAAAACTGAAAAAACAAATCATTATCTGTTTTTTCATTCTGGTTTTGGAGACAAATAATGAAGAAAACATTTGTTTTTTCGTTCTACTATTTTTGGTTTTATATTGAAAAACGAATGAACAAACGACGCACAGATTTACAACATCTCTCTTGTTTTTACATTTCATTAACTTTGAAAATTTTCCTTAATCACAACGTTTATCATTATTTATTTGTGTGTTCAGTCCTCCAGAGCTGCAGTTTTACACCAGTGCGGCCGCTGTGATCATGCTCATACCGGCCTGGGGATTCTTACTGGTGAGTTTTACATCTGTCTGTCCTTCTCTTCTGTTCTGTGCTTCTCTTCTCAGGTTCACTGCTCCTCCTCAAATGATTCTGATTCACTCTGATTTCTGTGACTCACTTTGACCTGCAGAAGAAAGTGTTTGACCTCCAGGAAAAAAATATGTGTGATAAAAAGGTGGTAAGAGTAGAATATTGTGCTACACGTGTGTGAGTTCAAATGATTTTGTAGTATTTCGTTGTTGAGCTCAATGGCTGCTGTTGGCTCCAAATAGTTTTATCAGGTTCCATTTCAGATCAATATTACAGAGATAAACTTATTAAAGCTCTATTTTCAGTTTGCTTTTGTCAACGTCCATACTTACTATGATGAGGTGAGGTCCTTATATTATGAGTTTGATTCCCCCCTGTGCTCTGTGGGGGATGGGTGCTCTCTGGGTGCTTTCTGGGTGCTCTCTGGGTGCTCTCTGGGTCATGTGTGGATCTTTTGTGGGTGGAGAATCATGGGGTGTTGTCTGGGTTGGAGTCTCGGGTGGAGTCTGGGTTGGAGTCTCAGGTGGAGTCTGGGTTGGAGTCTGGGTTGGAGTCTCAGGTGGAGTCTGGGTTGGAGTCTCAGGTGGAGTCTGGGTTGGAGTCTCAGGTGGAGTCTGGGTTGGAGTCTCGGGTGGAGTCTGGGTTGGAGTCTCGGTGGAGTCTGGGTGTGGAGTCTGGGTTGGAGTCTCGGGTGGAGTCTGGGTTGGAGTCTCGGGTGGAGTCTCGGGTGGAGTCTGGGTTGGAGTCTCGGGTGGAGTCTGGGTTGGACTCTGAGGCGGGGTCTGGGTTTTGTCTGACTGGTGTCCGGGTGGAGTCTGGGTGGAGTTTTCTGACCTTCTCTCTGTGTTTCAGGAGATTCCAGAGAAAGGTCGGAGTCTGTACTTGAGTCAGGACGTGTTGCTGCTGCTGCTCTTCGATGGAGCTCTGTTCCACCTGCAGAGTGTGACGGCCTACGCCCTCATGGGACGCATCTCCCCCGTCACCTTCAGGTACCTCATCGCTTCACCTCTGGGTGCTGTGTGGGTACTACTCTGGAGTTCATGGGTGTCAAACGGCAGAGTTGAAAATTGTGAACTTTCAGTGAAATTCACTGTGTGTCAACAGGTTTCAGGTGTCCAACTTGAGGCTTTTGGCAAGTTTTTAATGCCATAGTCTGAATGCAGCTTTATTGATACTTCGCAGTGACACCATGCTGGGGGTGTTCTACATGGATGGCAGTGACATTTTCTTCTGTAAAAGCTTAAAACACTTTAAAAATGTGAACAGCCAATACTCTTAAATCAGGAGTGTCAGACTCAAATTCACAGAGGCCAAAATTCAAAATTGGGACTAAGTCGTGGGCCAAACTAAATATTTATCTTCATGTTTTCTTTTCTTTTGAGATATGTAATGTTAAACTTTTTCTTATTAAAATAAATGTTTAATAAAGTTTTGCTTAAACATTGAATCCAGAACAAACAGAATATAAATAAAATAATCACAACATTGTAAATAAATAATGTCTCTATAGTCTGTCTGTGTGCGGCGGGCAGCTCTAATAAAGATTTGATATGATCTCACGGGCCAAATATATTTATATTGCGGGCAAATTTGGCCCCTGGGCCTGAGTTTGACATGTCTGACTTGAAGTCTGTGTGTTATTGACCATCTACACTCCTCTAACTCCTCCTCCTCTCTCTCTCTCTCTCTCTCTCTCTCTCTGCAGCGTGGCGAGTACGGTGAAACACGCTCTCTCCGTGTGGCTCAGCGTCATCGTCTTCAGTAACCACGTGACTCTGCTGGGCGCCGTGGGCACCCTCCTCGTCTTCATCGGGGTCTTCCTCTACAACAAGGCGCGACAGCTCCAGCGGGGGGCGCTGCAGACTCTGGCCCAGCACAACCACCTGGAGCCTCTGCAGAAGGACACGAGCAAAGACCCGGATGCCCTGCCACACTGAGCGCTCCAGCCGCGTCCACGCTCTCACGGCGGCCTCCTCTGAGCCTCCTCGTCCCTCTGAGCCTCCTCGTCTCCTCTGAGCCTCCTCGTCCCCTCTGAGCCTCCTCGTCTCCTCTGAGCCTCCTCGTCTCCTCTGAGCCTCCTCGTCTCCTCTGAGCCTCCTCGTTTCCTCTCCTCTGCTCTGAACCTTCTTGTTTCCTCTGAGCCTCCTCGTCTCCTCTTGTCTCCTCTGAGCCTCCTTTCGTCTCCTCTCGTCTCCTCTAAGCCTCCTCATCTCCTCTGAGCCTCCTCGTCTCCTCTGAACCTCCTTGTCTCCTGTCATCTCCTCTCATCTCTTCTCGTCTCCTCGTTTCCTCCTCATTTCCCCCTCATTTCCCCTCCTCTCCTCTGTGCCTCCTCGTTTCCTTCACTAACGCCTTAAACAGGTCAAAGTGCAGACGGCAGGTTCACGTTTTTCTAATTAGACTTGTTTTGGTGTGAAGTTTCACTTCAGTTCAGAGGAAGTTTGAGGAAGAACAAAAATACAGGAAGAACAAAAATACAGGAAGTATCGTCAAGTTTTAAAACATTCCCGTTGAAAATTTACGCACAAGGAAGATATTTTTCAAACACTTTAAACTTTGTTATCATGTGGATCTATAATAAAAAGAGGCACTAAACGTTTTCTGCACAACAAGCATAAAAGAAAACTCATTCATATAATTTATCATAATATGTACCCCATTTTTCAGACTATAAGTTGCACCAGTCAAAAAATGCATAATGAAGAAGAAAAAAAAACGTATATAAGTCACACTTTTTGGGGGAAATTTATTTTATAAAATCAGAGAGCAGGAGCAGGCATTTCCTGTGTAAAGTCAAGTTGTAGTAAAAACAACAGAAGAGAGAACAACAGACTGTTAACATCACATATGAACAGTTCTTCAGATAAACTATAACATAAACAACAGAACAAGTTTAACAAACTCTCCATCTCACTCCAAATCACTAAATCCATTCAATTCTTCATCCTCGGTGTCACTTCTGAGCAACTCGGCCTCGACCTCCGGAGGTAAACAGAGCTGCTGTCGTCAGACTCAGCATCAGTTCCAGTTAGAATTATTCGGGTCTTTCTGAATCCCGACAGGATGGTTTCAGTGTCACTGACGTCCAGGCTTTGTCCATCCATCCAGTGACTTCAGGAAAGTTTCACGGTGCATCCTCCCGCTGTCACAAGTTTCTCTCTCACTCCAAACTTTCTTTCTGCTGCTCGATTATCGTTTTCAGCTGCAGATTTCACGACATGCAGCTTTAATCTGAAAACAAATGCCCCTAAAAAGAATCATAAATTGCACTTTTCCCAGTCGTCTTTATAAGTTTAAAGTTTAAATGTTAAATTGTTCAGTGTTGCAGAGGTAACGGTGCGATCGACTGTCATGATACAGACAGGACAGAGGCTCTTTCTGCAGGAGGAACAGGAGCAGCAGATACTCACACACAAGCCCACAGCGCCCTCTTGTGGCTGTCAGTGTGTAAATGTTAATATATAAGTCACAGGAAACACCCAAACCATGAACAAAAGTGCCACTTATCGTCCGAAAAATACAGTACTTTTTAATTTTTGCGTAAATTTGAGATGAAAACAAATTCTATTTCTGTCAAATTCTATCAAAATTAGTTAAATTTGTTGTTCAAATCAAAAAAAACTCGCACCAAAACTGAATTTTTTTTAAAGTTTGTTGTAAAAAATGTATTCTTTTTATTCACAAAAATTCATTTCAATTCATTTTTCTTCTTTCTGTAAACAAAAATATCGATAAATAATCAAGAACCCGGACGCTGAGGCTTTGAGGAGGCCCGTCGTGGAGAAACTGGACGCAGCCCGGACTTGAGCTCGGACACAAACAGAACCACAGACTCTGGACTCTGCTGTCGTGCCGTTGGGCATGACACGTCTCTCCTCCCTCACCTGTGCCTGTGTGACTGCCTAAACCTCACCTCACCGAACCCCGCGGAGGAGAGACGAAAAGGAACTCTCGAAAAGCACCTTGACCAACGTGGAGAATGTCGTGTTTTGAATCCATTCCACTGTTTTGTTTTTGTTTTTTTCCGGACGTGAGGGCGGAGGGCGGAGCTTGCCTGGTCCGCAGCGTTTTTACAGTTTTACGGAGAACGTCAGTCTGGTATCGCTCCATGCAGACTCGATTTCTTACTGAACTTCTCGTAGGATATCCAGCTCCACAAATTCTCTAAAAGTCAAAATAGTAGGGATGTAACAATAACTGAAATATCGTGATATCGTATCGTCAAAGTTGTCACAGTAATATCGTGGAACATCACAATATATCAAATTACAAGTCTCTTTGCTTAAATGAAGAGTTATGGTGCAGCAACTACATAGACCATGATCCTTTGCTTCATTTCAGTGCAGACGACAAGAAGAAATAACAGTTCTAACACTTTTAAGTCTTAGTTCTTTGGGTTAAGTCTTGTCAAAACATTTTAAGAGGAGAAAGGAGGAGGAAAAAGTTTAGCCTCCACAAAATATCGCAATAAATATCGTATCGTGAGATGTATATCGGGAAAATATCGTACCGAGAGATTTGGATATCGTAACATCCCTAATCGAGAGCCTCCCCTCCATATCGTGAGCTCTCCCGCGATATCGCAATAAATATCGTAAAGTGAGGTTCATACCGTGACGATATCGTATCGTGAGACTTGAATATTGTTAGCCTGATTCATCAGCCGGTTTCACTTCGTAGAAACCGTCTGACCCCAGTATTAGGATTAGTTCTCTCGACAGTAGGTAGGTACTTTTTTATTTAACCAATCGCTGCTGTTTGGTCATGACGTATGTAATGCACCGCTGACTAACTGCTATATTAAGCTTTTCCTAAATCCCGTAGGAAGAAGGACAATAACGTCTTTCCGCTTGATAAAATTCACCAAACATTCTCTTTGTTCCGGCTTTAAATCCTCGATCTTGTGAATCGTTGCCAACACAGAATGTCTGACTCTTCGCTGATTGGCTGGTGCCCAAACTCACACTTCTGGACTTTTTGCGAACCGTCTAGTGTTTTCTGGTTCCTGATCTAGTCACTGGAGAGAAATGAGATTGAGTGGAGGCTCTAGGTGGAACCAGCCTGACTAGGATATTGTTACATCCCTACAAAATGGTGACGGTATAATGAATTTATTTACAGACAAAATAGTGAAATAAAAACATAGAATCATGTAGAATGGGTAAAAACATAGGAACCACTGATTTTCGATACTTTGGATTAGATTCAGGTCTCCTTTTCTCTCACTGGTTGCTCCATCTGTCAATCATTTCACTGTACAGACCTTTTTTCACACCGGTTAAAGTGCCTCGCTGTAGATTTGCAGAACTTCGGTGAATGTTTTTCCTTGTGCGAAATGTCTGTGTAAATGTAAATGTCGTATTCTCCACCAGCTTCATCAAAGGATAAACATTCTTCCATGACCAAAAGGAGAAATTCAATTTGTCAACTGGACAAAAGTTTGTTTTGGTCGAATAGTTTGCTCCTCGCTTCAGGCAGACAAACCTCTGTTCAAAGTGTTTCTCTTCCCAACGGAATTGAAAAATAGTGAAAGGTGAAGGTGATGGGCAGGATTGATCCACAGGAAGAACCAAAAAGGAAACTTTTGTCTAAATATACAGAGTTTACAGAGAACATTTTGTATGTGGAGCGACGACAAAACAAAATCCCGTTTGTTAATGTAGAGGAGCAGAAGACAAACAGACTGAGCTGCACTTTCTTGTTCTTGTGGTTTTACAGCAACATCACGTCTTGGTCTCTTTGCAGTGGAAGGTGTTTCTTGGTGAACAGTTGGAGCCTTTCACTTTGGCCTTGACTTTTTAAATTCGTAACCGAGGTTGAACAAGGGATTGAGGTTTTTACTTTGTTGTCGCTCCACATACAAAATGTTCTCTGTAAACTCGGGATGATTTAGTCAGTCAAATGTTTCCTTTTTGGTTCTTCCTGTGGATCAATCCTGCCCATCACCTTCACCTTTCACTATTTTTCAATTCCGTTGGGAAGAGAAACAGTTTGAACGGAGGTTTGAGTCACACACATCTGATTCACTTTTGCATCTATGGAGTTCGCAAACACATTTCTCGAGACGTTTTCCGCTGTTTGGATCCAACAACCACACAATTAACGATGTCCGAATCCCAAAACTAAAATATGACAATATCAGAACCAGAAACAAAAGTGATATGGTTCAAAAGACTTGAAAAGAAAACAAACATGGAGGTTTGATGCTCACTTTTTTGGAAAATCCTTCTCAGTATGAATTGCGCGATGACCGGAAGTCCGGAATTCGCGATGCGTGTATTAAAATTAAAAACTGATTTCATGATGTCGAGATTTGCAAAGATAGATTTGTACAGTTCGAATACGAGACATCTCTTGGAGCATAATGTCCGTTTTGTTCAGTGTCGTCGTTTCCTTTAAGTTTTCGTCTTTGTTCCCTTGATAGTTGTGGATAAATTCTCTAAACTGGAAGAATGTTTATCGTTTGTGTATGGAAGATCATTTGTTCCATCAGATTTAGAATTTTAAATACCACTGAATTTCTCACTTAAAATGTTTTAACTCTGAAAAAAGATGTTTGAATTATTTCTATTCTGAATTTTAGTTGCTCAAATTTGAATTTTACTTGTGTGTACTGTTTTAAATTCAAAATAAATAAAAAAAAAATCTGATCTTTTCAAGCCCTCAAATTCACCAGTCGAAATTCAGAGTGTAAAATTCGCAGTGAAAAATTTGACAGCAAAGATCCAAGATGCCAAGGCAGAAGCAATCGATCATGTGTGAGTGAAAAGGACAGAGGCTGTTTCCTATTGGCTGTTCTCATCTGTGGGCGGGGTTACATTAAGAAATCAAAGAGATGAGGTTTCGATGAGGCTAATTCTGACCAATCAGATCACGTCGCTGCAACATTTCCTGTTTCTTACTAAGTTAGATCAGATCACTTTGGATCGATTGCTTCTGCCTTGGCATCTCGGATCTTTCCTGTGAATTTTTTTGTTGCGAATTTTACACTCTGAATTTCGACTGTTGAATTTGAAGGCTTGAAAATATTTGTGCTGAATAAGAAACACTTTGAAAATGTACACTTAATATTTCAGCAACTAAAATTCATAATAAAAAATAATTCAAACATGTTTTTTCAGAGTTTAAAAATTCAAAGTGAGAAATTCAACAGCGTTTAAAATTCTAAATCTGATGAAACAAATTATCTTCCATATTTGTGGACCTTGTTGGTTGAAGATTCGGTGATGGAGCAGATTTATGAACCTGATTGAGACATTTCCACACACATTTTGCGAAAGAAAACCATTAACCGGAAGCTTCACAAACCTAAATCGAGACACTTTCGGCTGTTGTGAAAAAGTTCTGTTGTTACCAGACTGACTTCTCTGACTTCTTGTTCTTGTTGTTGTTGTTGTTGTTGTTGCTCAGGGTTCCTTCAGATCTTTGGAGGAAGTGACACTGGAAATGTCCCAGGCCTTAATCACTCACAACGCTTTTAACTTTTGCGTTTAAAGGGCCGGTACCTGATTACAGACGAAAAAAATCCACATTAAAGCGCCAGTTTTACGCTATTTTCTTGGACGATTTAAGCCTTACAATTGCAAATCTTTACTGAATTAAAGGTAAAAAAAGGAGCTGTGAACTTGAAAACTACCACTTCATGATGTCACAAAGTTTCCACGGAGCATTTTCAGCTTTGGATTTGTAGACAGACTCATAATAAAGAGTTACTCAAACATGTGAATGAAACGAAACATAACTCCAGGTCTGTTTTTTGAGGACGGAACAGGATTATAACATGATTTAAAGGTCACAAGAGTCGGTTCTGTGTAGTAAGTGACCTTTAAAGTCGACTTATTTTACATTTTAGACTTTTTTTTTTACATTTTAGAGACTGTTGTAGTTGTTTACTTTCTCATTTGCACACTCGGAAGTGATTTGTGCATGTTTGAGTAATCTTTAGTTTCAGGATTATTTTCAGGATTTCGTAGGATTGAGCAGCGTCGTGTCGTCGTTTTGGTCCAAATGTAAAAAAAAAAAGAAAAAGTGTGATGTGCAGTGATCCATAGGAGGGGCCCACAGCCTGGTTCAGTCCTGGTTCAGTCCTGGTTCCTGGTTCTGGTTTGGTCCTGATTTTGATCTCTGGTTTAGTCCTGGTTTAGACCTGGTTTAGTCCTGGTTTAGTCCTGGTTTAGTCCTGGTTTAGTCCTGGTTTAGCCCTGGTTTGGTCCTGGTTCGGTCCTCATTTGATCTCTGGTTTAGACCTGGTTTAGTCCTGGTTTAGTCCTGGTTTAGTCCTGGTTTAGACCTGGTTTAGACCTGTTTAGACCTGGTTTGGTCCTGCTTTAGTCTCTGGTTTAGTCCTGCTTTAGTCCTGGTTTAGGCCTGGTTTATACTTGGTTTGGTCCTGGTTCCAGTCCTGGTTTGGTCCTGGTTCGGTCCTGCTTTAGTCCTGGTTTGGTCCTGGTTTAGACTTGGTTCGGTCCTGGTTTGGTCCTGGTTTAGGTCTTGGTTTAGTCCTGGTTTAGGCCTGGTTTATACTTGGTTTGGTCCTGGTTTAGACTTGGTTCGGTCCTGGTTTAGTCCTGGTTTAGTCCTGGTTTAGTCTCTGGTTTAGTCCTGCTTTAGTCCTGGTTTAGTCCTGGTTTTTCTTGGTTTTGGTCCTGCTTTAGTCCTGGTTTTGGTCCTGGTTTAGACTTGGTTCGGTCCCGGTCCTGCTTTAGTCCTGGTTTGGTCCTGGTTTAGACTTGGTTTAGACTTGGTTCGGTCCTGGTTCGCTCCATGCGGCGCTTTGTTGTCAGGACGTTTATGGCCTCGTCAGTTTTCATTGGACGTCACAGTTTTCTGACGCATAAATCCTTGTCTCTTTTATTTAGTGGTTTTGGATCAAGAAAAACGGAAACTGCTGCCTGAAATTGGACTCGTTTTTGTTTTGTGTTGGGCGTGGAGTTTAGAGTTCTCGCTAAAATCTTTTCCTCACTCGTGGTTCGAAATCAGGTACTGGCCCTTTAAAGCGTCGGCAGTAACATGTGTCTCTTACCGGGTTAAAACTGCACTAAAACAACCGAAGCTTTAGTGTTATTATCTGGCAACCCAAAGCGACGAGCTCGTTCTGCTCAATAATCGTGTTGAGAACCAAACTGCAACTGTACAAAAAACAACAAAAAAAACACAATATCATGTGACTGTTTTTGTAATTTGTGAATAAATCAGCATTTGAAAAGTTTATATTTGGGCATTTTTACGTCGTATTTGGCAACACAAGTCATGATTTGGTTTAAAAACATAGAATAAGAGTCCGACTTTGGCTTCTACTTGAGTAATAATAATATTTTTCTTGGTCCTAAGAGGAGTTCACAGTTTATACAAATACAAAAGTACATTGTTATTGACACTCGGGTGTTTGTTTGTTTGTTGCCAGCAGAGGGCGCCACACTCCACGGAGCAGCCACAGCACCGAGCCTCTGAAAAACTACAGCATGTTTGGATTTGGATTTTCCAGATTGGTTCAGTGTTCTGTCGAAATAAGCGACCTCGTGTTTTTCCATTTACAGTTGTGTAGATCCACTAAACTAAATAAAAAACTTACTAAATATTTCTTTGGATTAGAGACAGAGTTTGATGCTGTTTGCACGCGGGGATCAGACTTTATTAGCCTGATTTATGAGACGGTTTCACTTCGGAGAAACCGTCTGACCTCGCAGCGTTAGGATTCGTTCACTTGACGAGTGTAGGCGGGTGTTTTTTAATTTAATTTAATTTAATTGCTGCTGTTTCGTGACGTATGGAATGCTCCACTAACGGGGCTAACTGGTACACAGTGTTCCCTCGTTTATCGCGGGGGATACGTTCTAAAAATAACCCGCGATAGGTGAAAGTAGTCAACTTTATATTTTACAATTTTTCTATGTTTGAAGTCTGTAAAACCCCTCAGCACAAACTTTATACACTTTTCTCACACAGGACAGGTGCAACCCTTTTCTGCATCCTTCTTAAAACTTATTGCTGCTGTCGTCCTTTTGTTATTTACTTCTTCTTTATGTAACGAACTGAAGACTAATTTATTCACAGGACCGCACCTGCCCACAACCGCACGCACCTGCCCTTTAACCCGAGATTATATCAAACTTTTGCACTGCCTACGCCATGGATTGAACCAAGATTAAAACCAGGACTAAACCAGGACTAAACCAGGACTAAACCAGGACTCACTGTCGGGACGGGCTCGGAGGTGACCACAGGAGAAAGGAGCGACGGAGAGCTCCGCACCTCACAGAGGTAAGCGCGGCAGTTTGCACGATCGCGCTGCACTTCAGAATCACATCGCTAACGATCGAACATTTATATAAATTTGGCAGCTGAACACATTCTGTACTGTACAGGAGACACGGCACGGAGGAGACTAACAATGGTTTACAGTCTCTTAGCCAATCAGGACGCAGGAGGAGGAAACACAACGCACGTTCATACACTAAAAAAGAATTCCTCCCAGCCTGGGTAGGATATTGTTACATCCCTACTAAATGGTGATGGCATAATGAACTTATTTACAAAATAGTGAAATTAAAAAACATGCAGAGTGGGCAAAAACATTGGAACTACTGATTTTCGATACTCTGGATTAGATTCACGTCTTCTTTTCTCTCATTGGTCGCTCCGTCTGTCAATCATTTGACTGTACAGACCTTTTTTCACAGCGGGTAAAGTGTCTCACTACGACTTTATACCTTAGTTATGTAAAATTTCAACTAATGTGTATGAAATATCGATATATCGTATCATTTAATGTGATGATACAGTATCGATATTCTGGGCTGATGTATCGATATCTCCAGTATTTTTTGGTTTCTTTTGTTTGTTTAGTGGAAGGAAACTCGTTTATGTGACACATTTGACATTTTCAGTTTTGATGATTAAAATGTTTGTTTCATCTGAACTTTGCACAAGAAGAAATAGTTTAACAAAGACTTTTAGTATCACAGACATGATTAAACCTTTATTTTTTTAATGGTACGTATCAAATTGATTTGAAATATATCGTATCGAATCGAAAACTCATTGTATCGAGATATGTATCTTTTTCGGACACAAGGAAAATTCTGCGTAACATTTATTTTGCCTGTTATTATAGAATAGAAATAGTTACTTTTTGTGTTATATCTATGTATTTATGTTTTTGGTTTTTTTTAAATTTATGTTCTATGTATTACTGTCCGAATAATATAATATTCATTCATTCATTCATTCATCGTATCAGCAACTTCTTATTGATACCAGCCCTAGCAGGTAGTTCATTTTGACAGTCATATTATGTTATAAAATATCGCTCCGAATAAAGGTAGCACATATTGACAGGACAGTTTATCCATCGAATAATGCTCCCACTGTAGAACCAACATTATTCACTCATTTATATGAATTTGGGCAGAGTTCATTTCCACAGGCCCAGATCTTCTGTCAAATAAAACTCCCACTACAGAAGAGAAAGAAACGACTGGAAACACTGGAATTTTTTTGATTAAATAGTGTTAATATGTAATATCAGTGTGAATTTCCTTTTATACATATTAGGGTGACCAGATTTTCTAAATCAAAATCTGGGACACCCTCGGTTTGTGGTGGTTGGTAAAAATAAAACTGAGAAAAAAGTGTAATTAAGAAAAACTGTTCTTCACTCGGCCCATTCATGACAAACATGAGTCAGTCACATTTTCTTCATGTTTTGGTCGTTTCTAAGCAGATTTTCTGTATTTTACGTAAACAAATAACAGTTTATGTCTCTTTACTGTTGGCAGGGATCAGATTGGTCAAAAATAGGGACACCTGGGTCAATTCTTGGGTGCTGTGGTCTGTGGGTGCTCCGGTTTGTGGGTGCCGCGGTCAAGTCTGTGGGTGCTCAAGGCTAGTCACCGGGTGCCCAGGTTTACGAGTTCTCACATCTATGGGTGCTCAGAGTTGTGGGTGCTTAGCTGTGCAGGTGCTTGGGCACAGACGGGTGCTCAGTTGGGTGCGGGGCTCGGGCACAGGCGGGTGCGGGGCTCGGGCACAGGCGGGTGCTCAGTTGGGTGCGGGGCTCGGGCACAGGCGGGCGCTCAGTTGGGTGTGGGGCTCGGGCACAGGCGGGGTGTTCAGTTGGGTGCGGGGCTCGGGCACAGGCGGGTGTTCAGTTGGGTGCGGGGCTCGGGCACAGGCGGGTGTTCAGTTGGGTGCGGGGCTCGGGCACAGGCGGGTGTTCAGTTGGGTGCGGGGCTCGGGCACAGGCGGGCGCTCAGTTGGGTGCGGGGGGGCTCGGGCACAGGCGGCGTGCTCAGTTGGGTGCGGGGCTCGGGCACAGGCGGGTGTTCAGTTGGGTGCGGGGCTCGGGCACAGGCGGGTGTTCAGTTGGGTGCGGGGCTCGGGCACAGGCGGGCGCTCAGTTGGGTGCGGGGCTCGGGCACAGGCGGGCGTTCAGTTTGGGTGCGGGGCTCGGGCACAGGCGGGCGCTTCAGTTGGGTGCGGGGCTCGGGCACAGGCGGGCGTTCAGTTGGGTGCGGGGCTCGGGCACAGGCGGGCGTTCAGTTGGGTGCGGGCTCGGGCACAGGCGGGCGCTCAGTTGGGTGCGGGGCTCGGGCACAGGCGGGTTTCAGTTGGGTGCGGGGCTCGGGCACAGGCGGGCGTTCAGTTGGGTGTGGGGCTCGGGCACAGGCGGGCGTTCAGTTGGGTGCGGGGCTCGGGCACAGGCGGGTGTCAGTTGGGTGCGGGGCTCGGGCACAGGCGGGCGTTCAGTTGGGTGCGGTGCTCGGGCACAGGCGGTCCAGGAGGTGCTCGTAGCTGAGGAAGGTGACGGCGTTGACGGGGAAGGCGCGGACGCTGTTGAGCATGAGGCCCCTGAAGAGCACCCGAGGGCCCTCCTCCCTCACGCTGACCCTCACACAGTCCAGCACCCCCCTGTACCTGCGCCCGCCCGCCCCCGACAGCTGCAGCCGCGCCTTCACCACGTCCATGGGCGTGGCCAGGGCCCACGTGACCACGCCCGCCACGCCGCCCGCCACCAGCACCGCAAACGTCCCTGAACACAACACAAGACACAAGACGACGTAAGACGACACAAGATGACGCAAGACGACACAAAACGACACAAGACGACACAAGACGACACAAGACGACGCAAGACGACGACAAGACACGACACAAGACGACACAAGACGACGACAAAGACGACACAAGACGACACAAGACGACACAAAAGACACGACACAAGACGACGACAAGACGACGACAAAGACGACACAAACGACACAAGACGACACAAGACGACACAAAACGACACAAACGACACAAGACGACACAAGACGACGACAAGACGACGACGACAAGACGACGCAAGACGACACAAACGACACAAAACGACACAAGACGACACACAAAACGACACAAGACGACACAAGACGACACAAGACGACACAAGACGACACAAAACGACACACGACACACGACACAAGACGACACAAGACGACACAAACGACGCAAGACGACGACACAAACGACACAAGACGACACAAGACACAAGACACAAGACGACACAAGACGACACAAGACGACACAAGACGACAAAACGACACAAAACGACACAAGACGACACAAGACGACGACACAAAACGACACAAAACGACAGAAGACGACACGGTCAATACAAGGAAAAAACAACTGGAGGGTTCAAATTTCAGAGTGAAATATTTCAGAGTTATATTTAACACAAAAACTATTTGTCGTGTGCCGTGTGTGTGTGTGTGTGTCAGTGTGTGTGTCGTGTGCGTGTGTGTGTGCGTGTGCAGTGTGTCGTGTGCCGTGTGCAGTGTGCAGTGTGTCGTGTGTCAGTGTGTCGTGTGCCGTGTGTGTGCAGTGTGCCGTGTGCTGTGCAGTGTGTCGTGTGTGTGCAGTGTGTGTGTGCGTGTGCAGTGTGTCCGTGTGCAGTGTGCAGTGTGCGTGTGCCGTGTGCAGTGTGCGTGTGCGTGTGCCGTGTGCAGTGTGTCGTGTGTGTGCAGTGTGTGTGCAGTGTGCAGTGTGTCGTGTGCAGTGTGTGTGTGCGTGTGCGTGTGCCGTGTGTCGTGTGCCGTGTGTGTGCGTGTGCAGTGTGTCCGTGTGCAGTGTGTGTGCGTGTGCCGTGTGCAGTGTGTCCGTGTGCAGTGTGTGTGCAGTGTGCAGTGTGTCGTGTGCAGTGTGTGTGTGCAGTGTGTCGTGTGCAGTGTGTCGTGTGCAGTGTGTCGTGTGCAGTGTGTCGTGTGCAGTGTGCAGTGTGTCGTGTGCAGTGTGTCGTGTGTCGTGTGCAGTGTGTCGTGTGCAGTGTGCCGTGTGCAGTGTGCGTGTGCAGTGTGCCGTGTGCAGTGTGTCGTGTGCAGTGTGTCTGTGCAGTGTGTCGTGTGCAGTGTGCTTGCTGTGTCCGCTCTCCGTCAGAGCTTTACAAATGACTTCGTACGGGAGGAAGTAGAACCCGTAGCAGGGGACGTCCCGCAGAGCCATGGCCAGGCCCCCGCGGTAAAGTCCCACGAGCCCCTCCTGCTTCAGGATGAGCAGGGCACAGTGCAGGGGCCCCCGGGGGCCCCCAGAGCCCGTCTGGCCCTGCAGACGCACTTTAACCAGGTCAATGGGAGCGGCCACCAGGACCTGTGAGGAAAATGTTACACAAGTTTATATGAAGGCAAAGGCTGGTGTCATGTTACAACATTTATAACCCAAATAATAAAACACAAACACTCTGAGCTCCTTTACAAAACAAAACACCAGAGCAAAAAACTGAGTAAATATAAAAGTCAGAATCTGTCATATAGACAGACCACTGCACCTTATGTACATCATGTACATCATATGTTTTAGTATTTATTTCACTCAGTCACTTTAACGTGCACTGGCACTAACAGGATCTGTCTCAGGACGGTGAATGGATGTGATGTGCTGGGGGGAGGTGGGGGGTTAAATTATGTTCTTTTATTGATTTATACCTAGAGAAACCTCATTTCATCTTATCTGCACTGCAGTCGTATGCACAGCATGACGACAATAAAGATTAATTTGATTTGATTTGACTTCAGTCACTGTAAGACTTAGATGATGAACACTTTGTTAGTTTAGTTTAGTTTAGTTTAGTTTTGGGACAGTTGCACAGTTGCACAGTCTACATGAACCTGAACAGAACAGATGTTTGTACGAGCTTGCAGCACCAGTGCTCATTTCCACCTGTCGTCTCTGAGCAGGTTCATTTATTGTTTGTATTTAATTGATCTTAACTTTTCTTCCTGGAGCACGTTTTGGGTTAAAAGGTTATAAAACATAAACCATTATCCATTTACTGATGCACCAAGTTACACATCAAAATGATACATTTACAACAGTAATTAGATTTTATTTATTATCCCTTTGTATATAGAATTCAGAAATCCTTTGGCGAGCTGCTCTGGAGGGGCTGGAGTTTTCAGAGCAGGAGTTTGTAACCTGTAGCTCAGGAGCTGTGTGCGCCCTCTAGTGGCAGCAGAAGGAGAAACCCACATGAAAACTGCATTTGAGGAAAACAAATAAAGTCTAAATGAAGTGTTGTCTGACCTGCACGAGTCCAGCGAAGGCCCCCGCGGCGTAGACCTGGAGCGCGGGCACAGAGGGGGCGGCTCCTCGCTCCTCTCGCCCGCTCCGGCTCAGAGCGTCCAGAGCGTTACTGTACGCCCCAAACACCAGAGAGTTCACCAGACCTGTGGTCACCGCCGGGAACGCCAGGCCCCGGTAAAAACCCCACACCTGCACACAGAGCAGACACACACGGTCCTGGGTCAGTCCTGGTTTAGTCCTGGTTTAATCCTGGTACAGTCCTCATACAGTCCTCATTTAATCCTGGTTTAGTCCTGTTTCAGTCCTTAGTCCTGGTTTAATCCTGGTTTAGTTCCTGGTTGGGTCCTTGTTTAGTTTATTCCTGGTTTAGTCCTGGTAGTCCTGGTTCAGTCCTATTTAGTCCTGTTTAGTCCTGGTTTAGTCCTGGTTCAGTCCTGGTTTAGTCCTGGTTTAGTCCTGGTTCAGTCCTGGTTCAGTCCTGGTTCAGTCCTGGTTTCCTGGTAGTCCTGGTTCAGTCCTGGTTTAGTCCTGTTCCTGGTTCAGTCCTGGTTCATGTCCTGGTTCAGTCCTGGTTCAGTCCTGGTTCAGTCCCTGGTTCAGTCCTGGTTCCTGGTTCAGTCCTGGTTCAGTCCTGGTTCAGTCCTTGTCCTTAGTCCTGGTTCCTGGTTCAGTCCTGGTTTAGTCCTGATTCAGTCTTGGTTTAGTCCTGGTTTAATCCTGGTTTAGTTCTGGTTGGGTCCTTGTTTGATTCTGGTTTAGACCCAGTTTATTCCTGGTTTAGTCCTGGTAAAGTCCTGGTTCAGTCCTTATTTAGTCCTGGTTCAGTCCTGGTTTTGTCCTGGTTTAGTCCTGGTTCTGTCCTGGTTCAGTCCTGGTTCAGTCCTGGTTTAGTCCTGGTTCAGTCCTGGTTCAGTCCTGGTCCTGGTTCAGTCCTGGTTCAGTCCTGGTTTCAGTCCTGGTTCGTCCTGGTTCAGTCCTGGTTTAGTCCTGGTTCAGTCTTGGTTAGTCCTGGTTTTGTCCTGGTTTAGTCCTGGTTTGGTCCTGTTTGATTCCTGGTTTGTCCTGGTTTAGTCCTGGTTTAAAGTCCTGGTTCAGTCCTTAGTCCTGGTTAGTCCTGGTTCAGTCCTGGTTTTGTCCTGGTTTAGTCCTGTCCTGGTTCAGTCCTGGTTCAGTCCTGGTTTTGTCCTGGTTCAGTCCTGGTTCTGTCCTGGTTCAGTCCTTGGTTCAGTCCTTGTTTAACTCCGGTTCAGTCCTGGTTTAGTCCTGATTCAGTCTTGGTTTAGTCCTGGTTTAATCCTGGTTTAGTTCTGGTTGGGTCCTTGTTTGATTCTGGTTTAGACCCAGTTTATTCCTGGTTTAGTCCTGGTAGTCCTGGTTCAGTCCTTAGTTGTCCTGGTTCAGTCCTGGTTTTTGTCCTGGTTCAGTCCTGGTTCAGTCCTGTTTTTAGTCCTGGTTCAGTCCTGGTTTTCCTGGTTTAGTCCTGGTTTAGTCCTGGTTCAGTCCTGGTTTAGTCCTGGTTCAGTCCTGGTTTAGTCCTGGTTCAGTCCTGGTTTTAGTCCTGGTTTAGTCCTGGTTTAGTCCTGTTCCTGTTTAGTCCTGGTTCAGTCCTGGTTTAGTCCTGGTTTAGTCCTGGTTCAGTCCTGGTTCAGTCCTGGTTCAGTCCTGGTTCTGTCCTGGTTCTGTCCTGGTTTAGTCCTGGTTTAGTCCTGGTTCAGTCCTGGTTCTGTCCTGGTTCTGTCCTGGTTCAGTCCTGGTTCAGTCCTGGTTCAGTCCTGGTTTAGTCCTGGTTCAGTCCTGGTTTTGTCCTGGTTCAGTCCTGGTTCTGTCCTGGTTCTGTCCTGGTTCAGTCCTGGTTCAGTCCTGGTTCAGTCCTGGTTCAGTCCTGGTTCAGTCCTGACTCACATGGAGCCTCACTGACCCCTTCTCTGGAGTAGGTCTGGAGGACACAGTGCACGAGGCCGTTGTACTGAGCCAGAGCCTGGAGCCGCACCTGAACACGGACAGAACACGGACAGTACACACATGTGAGTATTTTATGCAGTACTTTTAAAATACTACAGGGTAAAGACAGTGGCACCTTCACTGTGTCGATGGGGTGTCCCACCACGATGCCCAGGGCCCCTGAAAAACACCAGAGCACAAGGATTTACAAAGGCCACAGTCTGATCGCACTTCAAACTTATTATCAGGTTATTCATCTTGTTTTCAGGTTTATTATCTTAAATTTAGCCAATAAATGTTTAAAAGTAGCTACAATCCATTTAACAAAGTTTTCCCCTGAACCACTTCTCTTGTTTTTAGATTCAGTGCTTGATACTCGAGTATGTTTATCTCAAAGTTTGCATCTATAAACATATTTGCAGCCCGTGAACACTGACCAGAGACACTTCGTTCTAGTCTAGAGGTCGTTTATTTTAAGAGAACTTGTCAAGTAAAATGATCTTGCTGCATGAACGCGGAGATCATTTCATTACTTTTAAGTCATTTTCTGATACATTTAAGTGTTTATATGTTAAATTTTGGCCAAGCTTTTTTTTTGGAGAGCGGTACTGAAATGTTTTTTACGGTGATACAAGAAAAATAATAGTAATATTTTGTCCGAAGCCCATTTTTGCCAGTAAATAAAAAAGTCACCAAATGGCTTTAAATCCTCGATCTCAGGATTTAAAGTCACCTCACCGCAACAACAACTACCGAACCCACAGGCAGTGATACAGACGCGGTGAGGTACTGCGGTAAAACAAGTGACTGAAACTGTAATTTAAACACCAACGTGTCCAAACACAATGAAAACACTTCATATTTACACGTCACAGTGGGCGCAGCCGCCTCGGAATCCTTGCTCAGTCGACTCAGTCCGAGTAAAGCCAGAACAAAGAGAATGTTTGGTGAATTTTATCAAGGGGAAAGACGTTATTGTCCTTCTGCCTGTGGGATTTGGAGCATTACAAACGTCACGACCAAACAGCAGCGATTGGTTAAATAAAAAAAGTACCCGCCTACTGTCGAGCAAATGAATCCTAATGCTGCGAGGTCAGACAGTTTTCACAAAGTGAAACCCGCTGATGAATCAGGCCAGACAGTTTTCACAAAGTGAAACCCGCTGATGAATCAGGCTACTGTTTTTGAGGAGGGAACAACTTTATAACACGGTTTAATCACTTCTGCACTGTCCTGAAACAGCAAAGCAACAGAATCTCTACAGAAACCAGCACTTTGACCAAACTCTCACCAGAAAATGAACTTTATACTAACAAGAAGATTATGCAAAGACATTTAAGATCACAGATTAAAACAGAATCTTCCTCTGAAACTCTGAAAGTCTGATCCCGATCTCACCTGAGACACTTCCAGCCACGAACTCCAGCAGGGGCATGACGACGGGTCAGGACGACATAAGACTGAACTTCACTCTCTGAGGTTAATGTATGACAAACCTGCACCTGTAACACAACATGAACATGCACACACACACGTACACACACGTACACACACACACGATACAGGTGTGCAGCAAAAAGACTGAAAAAGTGAAATCACAGTTTAATTTAAAGTGCTCTCACCCTGTCGTGGGGGCGTCGCTCCTCAGGGGCCGAGCTCAGGTCCAGAGAAAAACACGAGGTGAGAAAAGAAAGAGGCCGGCCCACAGGAGGTTCTGCGAAGGAAAACAGGATGACAGTGAGTTACTGGTTATCTCGCTGCAAAACCCAAGACCATTAATCAACAACCTAAACCCGGGATAAGTGTAAAGTAAGTACACACTGTAAAATAAGTTACACACTGTACTACTAAAAACTGTGTGCTGAATGTGAGATACAGATTTTTCTTTCTTTTGTGTGTATTTTGTTTTATATTATTTTATCTGCATAAACACTACAATAAGATGCATCTATTTTCTTTTGCTTATCCAGGGCCGGGTCGTGGGGGCAGCAGTCTAAGCAGGGACTCCCGGATTTCCTTGACCCCAGACACTTCCTCCGGCACTTCTGAGGACCCTGAGGTGTTCCCAGGCCAGCTGAGAGACACAGTCCCTCCAGCGTGTCCTGGGTCTTCCCCTGGGCCTCCTCCTGGTGGAACATGAACACCTCCTGAGAGAAGCGTCCAGGAGGCATCAGAAGCTCTCCTCTCCACGTGGAGGAGCAGTGGCTCTACTCCGAGCTCCTCCCGTGTGACTGAGCTCCTCACCCTGTCTCTAAGGGAGCACCCAGACACCCTGCGGAGGAAACTCATTTGTGCCCCTTGTATCTGTGATCTCGTCCTTTTGGTCATTACCCAGAGCTCATGACCAGAGGTGACAGCAAGATACTTTTACTTTTACCCCCATTTATTTAATCTGGTGTATATAGATATATAAATATAGATATTCCCTTAAAACCACATATATGGACTTTCATTACTACAGTATCATTACAAAGAATATTCAACTACAGCACCAACATGGCTGCACATCCACACACAGATTTACACATTTATACAGACTGAAGCTGTGAACAGTCGAGGGAGAAACGAGACGTATAAACAAACAAACAAACAAAAAAAACTATTCTGTATACTGTAAATGTAGAACATTTCATATGGTTGAAACCTGTGGCGCAGGTTTAAGATGCCTGGACTAAGTCTCTGCTTTTACAAGTTTTATATAAAAGATGAATGCTGCTGTTGTGTCCTTGGGCAAGACACTTAACCCACCTTGCCCACAGTGTCTGCGTACACTGGTGTGTGAATGTGTGTGTGAATGTGTGAGTGGTTCCTTGTTGTAAAGCACTTTGAGTGCCTTGAAGGTGGAAAAGCGCTATAGAAAAATGTGACCATTTACCATAAAAGGAACAATCTGCACTGTACAATTTTTTCCCCTCATTTGTATCAGTGAAGCTCCGTACTCTAGAGGGCAGATGCCTCAGTGAAAATTTGCCGTGACACCATCTTGAGAAGAAGGCCTTGAAGTTCTGTTGACTTCAGAGTTTTTGTATATTTGATCACAGAGCCTTACAGAGGGTAAAATTTAGATAAATAAGACTTGAGAGGCCAACTTAATTTTTTCAAGTTGAAGAAACGGCATGAGGTCAGTGGGCGACTGTGAGGCTTTTGGAGCAGTCGGTCACTTCTAACAGGATTTGTCTTCTGGCTGTAAGAGTTGAAAAGGAGACAGTGTCCACGTCTCGTCTGTTATTTTATTTGGGTCGTATTAAAAATACAACTAGATCAACAGAAGGAGTCGAGGCAATTTCTAGACAAAAAAAAAAAGATACAATACTCACAATGTTTCTGTAATTATGCTGATATTCGATATCAGTAAACTGTTTCCAAGGCGTCTCTGGTGTATTTCAGATGGTGTTTCTAAACTGAGGAAGGAGACTGGATCTTATGCATAAACTGTGGAGTTTCATGTCGTATTTTGGCACAAATTAGTTTTTCTGGTTAAATAAGTGACTGATTTCTGATTCTGTAAATCACTAACAAGAAAACTCACCCATAAACTAAACTCCCGACTAGTGTTGGGCACAGTACTTTGAAAAAGAAATTAACTATATTTATTAGGGTGGTCCATGATAAAAAAAATAAAGTTTCAGATAAACTTAGGTTTTAGCACCAAAAGAAATGTGGAAGAAAAAGGAGATGATTTAGAGGTTGCTCAAGCTGAATGAATTTTCCTGAAAATGGACAAATTTTGTGTTTTCAATTAACTTTTTATGAACTTTCTAAGCAACTTTTATGCAAGTTTCAGTTTGTGTTTGCAGAATAAAATGACAAATTATTGGAATAGGCCTTATTTATTTGGTTCTATGTTATAATATTGGCCCTAGAGGGACATTTTCAAACTGTGTTCACGACAATCATTTGGATGATTTCAGCTCTGGATTTTTTAATCTCTTCTGAACAAAATTAAAACCAGCTGTTCGCTTAAAAACTACCGCTTCATGACATCACAAGGTGGAACAGATCGTTTGGAGCTTTGGAGATGTAGGACTAACCCAGGACTAACCCAGGACTAACCAGGACTAACCCAGGACTAACGCAGGACTAACGCAGGACTAACCCAGGACTAACGCAGGACTAACCCAGGACTAACCAGGACTAACGCAGGACTAACCCAGGACTAACCCAGGACTAACCCAGGACTAACGCAGGACTAACCCAGGACTAACCAGGACTAACGCAGGACTAACCCAGGACTAACCAGGACTAACGCAGGACTAACCCAGGACTAACCCAGGACTAGGACTAACGCAGGACTAACGCTAACGCAGGACTAACCCAGGACTAACGCAGGACTAACCAGGACTAACCAGGACTAACGCAACTAACTAACCCAGGACTAACCCAGGACTAACGGACTAACGGACTAACCCAGGACTAACGCAGGACTAACCAGGACTAACCCAGGACTAACCCAGGACTAACGCAGGACTAACCCAGGACTAACCCAGGACTAACCCAGGACTAACCCAGGACTAACGCAGGACTAACCCAGGACTAACCCAGGACTAACGCAGGACTAACCCAGGACTAACGCAGGACTAACCCAGGACTAACCCAGGACTAACCCAGGACTAACGCAGGACTAACCCAGGACTAACCCAGGACTAACCCAGGACTAACTAACCCAGGACTAACCCAACGGACTAACGGACTAACGGACTAACCCAGGACTAACGCAGGACTAACCCAGGACTAACGCAGGACTAACCCAGGACTAACTAACGCAGGACTAACCCAGGACTAACGCAGACTAACTAACCAGGACTAACCCAGGACTAACCCAGGACTAACCCAGGACTAACCCAGGACTAACCCAGGACTAACCCAGGACTAACGGACTAGGACTAACCCAGGACTAACTAACCAGGACTAACCCAGGACTAACCCAGGACTAATAACCCAGGACTAACCCAGGACTAACCCAGGACTAACGGACTAACCCAGGACTAACCCAGGACTAACCCAGGACTAACCCAGGACTAACCTAACCCAGGACTAACCAGGACTAACCCAGGACTAACGCAACCCAGGACTAACCCAGGACTAACCCAGGACTAACGCAGGACTAACGGACAACGGACTAACCCAGGACTAACCCAGGACTAACGCAGGACTAACCCAGGACTAACGCCAGGACTAACCCTAGGACTAACCCAGGACTAACGACTAACGGACTAACGGACTAACCCAGGACTAACCAGGACTAACGGGACTAACGGACTAACGCAGGACTAACCAGGACTAACTAACCAGGACTAACGGACTAACCCAGGACTAACCAGGACTAACCCAGGACTAACCCAGGACTAACGCAGGACTAACCCAGGACTAACTAACCCTAACGGGGGACTAACGCAGGACTAACCCAGGACTAACCCAGGACTAACCCAGGACTAACGCAGGACTAACGCAGGACTAACGCAGGACTAACCCAGGACTAACCCAGGACTAACCCTAACCCAGGACTAACCCAGGACTAACCCAGGACTAACCCAGGACTAACGCAGGACTAACGCAGGACTAACGCAGGACTAACCCAGGACTAACTAACCAGGACTAGGACTAACCCAGGACTAACGCAGGACTAACCCAGGACTAACCAGGACTAACGGGACTAACCAGGACTAGGACTAACGGACCAGGACTAACGCAGGACTAACCAGGACTAACCCAGGACTAACTAACGCTAACGGACTAACCCTAGGACTAACCCAGGACTAACCAGGACTAACGGACTAGGACTAACGCTAGGACTAACCCAGGACTAACGCAGGACTAACGGACTAACCCAGGACTAACCCAGGACTAACGCAACTAACTAACGCCCAGGAAATGTAACGAAAACAGGAAAATCCCTCTGTATAATCCATTTATTTCAACAAAGTAACTGTAATCCAATTACCACTCACTGAAACAGTAACTGTAACTGAATATAGTTACTCATCAATTTGTACTCTGATTACTTAACTCTGGTACATGTAATCTGTTACTCCCCAACACTGCCGGTACTGCAGCGACACAGTGACACAGTGACTCAGTGACATTGCAGCAAATCAGAAACAAGAAACTCCACTGGCCTAAAATAAATGATTACAATATTTACATAACAACAAAATCCAATAGAATTTAATTTTTGACAAAATAAATAAATAAATAAAAATGGTCTGTAACTGTACATTTTGTCCAATTACACGTCTCTTTCACTTCTACCATTTTATAATTTAGAATCTCTTTCAGAAACATTCTTAAAAAACATATCAGTTACCGAATCTCAACATGCACGCACACAATTACTCGCATTTAATTGTCTCGTAATCAGGAAGTGCGCGTTACCTTGCTAGTTGTACTGTAGAAAACCCCGCTCCGGTCTCTGAAAGTCGTAAAAAGAAAAAAAAAAAAGTTGTGAAAAAGGCTTATAAACTCATCGCGGTGAGAAATCAGGATGTTCTGAAGAAGAGACGAAGAACTTTTTTTTTTTTCATGTTTTTAAGGCAGTAAAAATCAGGTGCAGAGCTTTAACTGTAAATCTGTGGTGGTTGGAGCGGTCAGTGTGCAGAAATTTCCAGCTCCACAACTTCAGAATTTAATCATTTAACAGTAAACTCAAGCAAAGCAAGTTTAGTTTGTGTTTTTTTGCATGTTCTCCGGGTTCTGACGTGTGTGTGTGGTTTGGGTCTTTGCTGCTTCGTCTTACCTTTTCCCCCTCGTGCAGATCTGCAGAGGATTTTTCTGCACAAAAGAAGAAAAACACCAACATCTGTGTCCCAGCAGCGGCCGCCCGGAGTCCAGTCACTTCCTCTGAGCCCTTCAAAATAAAAGCGCTTTTTCAGACAGAGTCACGTTTCACAGCTTTATTTTCCTTTGACACATTGATTGAGCGACTCTGCTGGATCCTGGCTTCAAGACTGATTCTTTGCAGCTCAGGTCGTCAATATTCTCCGGGGTTGTGATGCTAACTGGAAGCACTACTCTGTCTGAAGCGCCGTTACTCAAGTTCAGGCCTTCGAGGTGTGTTTCTCTAATGTTGTGTTTTTATTCTCCTGCTCCCTCTCTTACCTTGTTTGGAGTTTCCTGGGCGGATCCCAATCACATCACCTGCTGAGCTCCACTCCTGATCCTCATCACTCGATCATCTCCTGCCATAAAAGACCCGCTGATCTTCTCTCCAACGCCTCATCGTTCTGTCGTTTAAGCGGTGACCTTAACTCTTAAGGCTTTTTCTACGGACCGGTTTCTTTTTGTCTGTTCCCCAGTGCTTTCGTTTGGAGTCAGCCTCATCTTGTTTGCCACCTGCTCCATAAACCTTTGGTCAGTCCCCACCGCTATGCACCTCCTAACTGTAGCCGACCTGTCCTGCCCCATCAGGAACTTATCTCCCCCAAGACTATTTTGGTTAATAAATACCCTTTTTTTTTTTTTTTTGCATATTTGTACCAGTAGTGTTTCTTAACAGATTTTTATTGTTAATCGGCTCCTGCTGGCGGCGAGACTCCCCTCATGGCCATAAAGCTCTAACATACACGAACATTCACACAGACAGTGGCTCCTTTTTTTTTCTGCTTCACTCGAGGAAAAATAAAAACTAAAACACAACACTACTCACACCAGTCCATCTTTCCCACAGTCAGAATAATTTAGCTCCATAAAATGCTTCTTTATAAAAGAGAAATACATATTTATGGTCATTCCAGTTTGTCAAAGTCTGATCCCGTCAGAAGCTCAGAGTCTGGACCTGGTCTGGACCTGGTCTGGACCTGGTCTGGACCTGGTCTGGATGGAGACACTAGGAAAATCAGGAGCCACAGGGGGACATCAGTCGCATAAACTGTTGTGTCCTTATGCAAGACACTTGACCCACATTGCCTTGTATGAAAGTGGAGTGTGCGTGATGTTGGTGGTCGGGTTAGAAGTTAGTACCAGCGCCGGGTCTGGAGTGACTGAATATTGGTCTGTAAAGCGTCTTTATGACAGATGTGTGTGAAAAGCGCTATATAAAAATAGAATTTAATCACTGCACTAAAATCTAGCCAAGTTATGATTTGAGTAAAATGATCTGAATAATACTTTTTGTACTTAATATATGAAAATACATCTTGCTGCACTTAAAATAAGAAAAAATTACTTTTTGCACTTAAAATAAGAAACAAAATCAAATGTTGCTTGAATTAAGAAAAACACCCTTTTTCCATTGGTCAGTCATTTTACTTGTCAAGTTTGACCAACTCAAACAAAGTCAAATGTTCTTAATTTAAGTCATTTTAATGTAGTTATTGTTTTTTCCAGTGCTACATGCTGAGAAACTTCCTGCTGAAGGGTTTTTGTGGACACTGGGTTGGATGAGGCCTGCGGTCGCTGTGTGGCCTGTAGCCTGTTTGTAGCTGGCGTGCAGCTCTAATACATATTTGATGATTATATCGCAGGCCAAATTTGGCCCCTGGGCCTGAGTTTGACATGGCTGGCATAGAGATTTGTGCATACATGTCATTCCAACTGCACAAATCTGTCTGTGTTAATATCGACATCATGAATTTTAATTGTAGAATCAGTCTGAGTGAACAAGTTCCTTCTGTTTTATTCATGATCATAACATTAGTTTAGTTCAGTGCGTCACTAAAGCGTCGTCGTTGTTTCCTTTAAGTTTTCGTCTTTCTTCTCTTGATAGTTGTGGATATTATATTCATTGGTTTCATTGAATGTTTATCCTTTGTGGAGTTTGTTGGTTGAAGATTTGGTGATGAGGCAGATTTATGAAGCTGCTGGAGAATACGACACACATTTACACACACATTTACACACACATTTGCACAGATATTTTGCCACAGAAAACCATTAACCGGAAGTTCTACAAACCCACAGGTGACACTTCCGGCCGTTGTGAAAAAGCTCTGCTGGGGAAGTCGTTGCTCAACAAATTAAAACATTCAGTCTACATCACACACAGACAGACTAAAGGTTTACAACTCCTGGTTTTGTTTTTGACGACATTACGACCTTCTAACACGGCCTAAAGTTCACCAATATTAATAAGGACCTTTTAAACTCATTTTGTTGCACTGATACGATTACGAAAGTTGCTGCAAATATAACCTGGAATAATGATAATATTTATGAAATCACATGAGGTCTGAACTTTAAAAACACTGTGGACGAAAAGTACATTATGTGCGCGGGCCTACATTATGTGCGCGGGCCTACATTATGTGCGTGGGTCTACATTATGTGCGTGGGTCTACATTATGTGCGCGGGCCTACATTATGTACGCGGGCCTACATTATGTGCGCGGGCCTACATTATGTGCGCGGGCCTACATTATGTGCGTGGGCCTACATTATGTGCGTGGGCCTACATTATGTGCGTGGCCTACATTATGTACACGGGCCTACATTATGTACGCGGGCCTACATTATGTGCGTGGCCTACATTATGTACGCGGGCCTACATTATGTGCGCGGGCCTACATTATGTGCGTGGGCCTACATTATGTGCGTGGGCCTACATTATGTGCGTGGGCCTACATTATGTGCGCGGGCCTACATTATGTGCGCGGGCCTACATTATGTGCGCGGGCCTACATTATGTGCGCGGGCCTACATTATGTGCGTGGGTGCGTGGGCTTACATTATGTGCGTGGGCCTACATTATGTGCGTGGGCCTACATTATGTGCGCGGGTCTACATTATGTACGCGGGCCTACATTATGTGTGCGGGCCTACATTATGTGCGCGGGCCTACATTATGTACGTGGGTCTACATTATGTACGCGGGCCTACATTATGTGCGTGGGTGCGTGGGCTTACATTATGTGCACGGGCCTACATTATGTACGTGGGTCTACATTATGTACGCGGACCTACATTATGTGCGTGGGTGCGTGGGCTTACATTATGTGCGCGGGCCTACATTATGTGCGTGGGCCTGCGGCGGACGGCGGGTGCAGCTGCCGCGTGTCGCTCTCACTGCCCTACATGGACTCGTCTTCTATTTGTATCCAAGGACAGTGACATTAAATATAGAACTCTCATCAGCGCCATTGTTATGTCTGACGCCCCAACCACTCACCCACTCACCCACTGACTCACCCACTCACCCACCCACTCACCCACCGCACCAACGACCGAGCGAAAGACCCACCGACCTCTCCTGAACTCACCCCCCCCCTTTATCTCTCTCTCTCTCTTTCTCTGAGGGTCATGACTCTTTCTCTCTTTCTCACTTTCTCTCTCTTGTTGTGATCTGTCCTGTCTCTCTCTCTCTCTCTCTCTCTCTCATTGTGATCATGTGGTCATGTCTCTTTTCTCTCTGTCATCTCTTTTACTTTTTTCTCTCTCCCTCTCTCCTCTTTTACTCTTTCTTTCTTTCTCTCTCTCTCTCCTCTTTAACTCTTTCTTTCTCTCTTTCCCTCTATCCTCTGTTTCCCTCTCTCTACCTCTCTCCTCTTACTCTTTCTCTCTCCCTCTCTTTTACTCTTTTTTCTCTCTCCTTATCTCCTCTCTTTAACTCTTTCTTTCTCTCTTTCCCTCTCTCCTCTCTTTCTCTCTGTCTCTTTCTGACCCCCCTTTCTCTCTCTCTCTCTTTCTCTCTCTCTCTCATTGACATGGGTCATGTCTCTCTCTCTCTCTTCTCTCTGTCTTGGTCTCTCTCTCTCTCTGTCTTTCTCATGGATCATCTCTCTCCCTTTCTCTCTCTCTCTCTCTTTGTGATGGGTCATGTCTCTCTCTCTTCTTTTCTCTCTGTCTGTTTATCTCTCTTCTCCTCTCCCCCTCTTCCTCCCTCTCTCATTATGATGGATCATGTCTCTCTTCCCCTCTCTGTCTCTTTATCTCTCTCTCTCTCATTATGATGGGTCATCTCTCTTTCTCTCTCTTTATTTCTGATGTCTCATGTCTCTTTCTTCCTGCCCCCCCTCCCCTTCTCTCTCTCTCTCGCTCTCATTGTGATGAGTCATGTCTCTCTACCTCTCTCCTCTTACTCTTTCTCTCTCCCTCTCTTTTACTCTTTTTTCTCTCTCCTTATCTCCTATTTTACTCTTTTTTTCTCTCTCCCTCTCTCCTCTCTTTCTCTCTGTTTCTCCCCCCCCCCCTCATTGTGACAGGTCACGTCTCTCTCTTTCCCTCTCTCCTCTCTTTCTCTCTGTCTCTTTCTCCCCCCCCCCCCCCCCATTGTGACAGGTCACGTCTCTTTCTCTCTCTCTCTCGATCACAGGGGGTATCCCGGCGGGTGCTCTCTCCCTCTCTCCTTCCCTCCCTCTCTTTCCCTCTGTCTGACGGGTGCTGTTTCACTTTCTCCCTCTGACAGGTGTCGTCCCTCTCTCCTCTCTTTTACTTTCTTTCCCTCTCCTCTCTCCTCTCTTTAACTCTTTCTTTCTCTCTTTCCCTCTCTCCTCTCTTTCTCTCTGTCTCCCCCCCCTCTCTCATTGTTACAGGTCACGTCTCTTTCTTTCTCTCTTTTCCTCTCTCTCCTCTCTTTAACTCTTTCTTTCTCTCTTTCCCCCCCCCCTCTCTCATTGTGACAGGTCACGTCTCTTTCTTTCTCTCTCTCTCTCTCTCTCTCGATCACAGGGGGTATCCCGGCGGGTGCTCTCTCCCTCTCTCCTTCCCTCCCTCTCTCTTTCCCTCTGTCTGACGGGTGCTGTTTCACTTTCTCCCTCTGACAGGTGTCGTCCCTCTCTCCTCTCCGACAGGTGTGCCCCCGCTTCCCCCTTTCTCCCTCTCCCCCATCCCTCTCTCCTCTCTCTCCTCTCTCTCCTCTCTTCTCTCTTCTCTTCTCTCTGTTCCATCAGGTCAGTATTGTCTGGAGCTTGGGAGGATCACATCTCACCATGGATGACGTGTACAAAGCAGCGGTGAGTACTTTTCTCCGTTTAACCCCGTTTAAAGCCGCACTGTGTCACTTTTCTGTATTTTAACCAATTTCTTAAAGGGGAAATAGTGTGTAAACTTTTTTAAAATGAGATTTTAAACCATCTTTAAAGCTCCTGTATCACACAAAACTGACTCTTGTGAGCTTTAAGTCATGTTTTAATGTCGTTATCTCCTCAAAAACAAACCTGGAGTTGTGTTTGTCCACTCAAAATACTCTGTTCCACCTTGTGATGTCATGAAGTGGTAGTTTTCAAGTTAACCGCTCCTTTTATCTTTAGTTCAAAACGTCTTTCTACGTCGTAAAATTCCAAGGTTGAAATGATCCAAATGATTCTAGTGAAAGTGTGTTGGAGTTTAAAAACACAGTGGGGCGCGTCGCTTCCTGCACCACCACATGACATCACAAGGTGGAAGAGAGTGTTTTCTGTTCGAGAGAAGAACTCAGACGAAATGTGCGGGGTTTGTGCCTTAAATGAAACAACTCCAGGTCTGTTTGTGATGAGGAAACGAGATTAGAACAGATCGGAAAATCGTGCAACATGAGGACGACGGGACTAAGGTGACCGTTCGTCCGGATTTCGGCCAAATTTCGTTCACATTTCGGACCCTCGGTTTCACGCATCACCACAAATTGCACCTGCGATTCTGCGATACCAGTGTTTGAAACTGTTTGCTGTTGAACAAAAACAAATCGCAAAAATGTTGTACCTGAACGTTCATATTTTGGGCCAATGTGAACTGTTTTACTGCCTGATGAACGAACTGTGAGCGAGTTCATTGTCTGTGAACGGCATGAGCTTCGATTTAACTTCGTTCAACATAATTAGCAGGAAAATATTCAATCTGGCAAAAACACGAGCCACCCGCGTCGCATCGCTGCTTCCGTCGTCAAAATAAGAAAAAACACTTGGCTCTACTGCGCATGTCTCCTGCAGATAGAGCCCCTCAGTTTTTTTTATTTATTTATTTATTTATCTGAGACAGGGACAGCACACAATTTTTGCATTTACCTTAACAGGAGAGATGCATTGTCCATCAGGTTGTAGCATTAGTGCTCATTTCCACCTGTCGTCTCTGGGCAGGTTCATTGCATTGATTGTATTTAACTGACCTTGACTATCAGCTGTTCTTGGAGACCTGTAGCATTTTTTTGGGTTGATGGGGGAAACCGGAGCGCCCAGAGGAAACATGCAAACTCCACACAGAAAGGCCCGCAACCTTCTTGCTGTGAGGCATGAGCGCTAGCCACTTCCGGTTCCGGTAGTGTCCTCACTTTTGGGTCTTCGTCCTCACTTTTGGGCCTGAGCGTCCTAATTTTCCAAGTCATACCGGTGGACAATTTTATCTAACCTGGCACAAACATATGACCTCTTTGTGTAGGTCATTGTTTTTCTCTGATGATAAATAAACAAAAAATGACCCTTTAACTTTGATTTCATTCGTTTGAGTCATCGAGAACATTTTCAGTTTTCACCTATCCCCTATCTCCGCCCTCTTCTCTGTGTTTACTTGCAATCATTTTAAAAAGTATCAGTGAAACATTGGGTTGAAAAATGTGGCACAGAATTTAGAAATCCAGTGAATGTTACAGTGAAATGTCACTATGAAGGGGCTGGGTTTTGAACGGGAGGTCAGTGCACCTGTTTGTGTTATAATATTACACTTTTTACAATGAACAAAATGTAAAATTATGAAATATTTTTGCAACATTTTCATACAAAACCTCAAAAATATAGTCGAAATATGTCTCCTTTGACTTTAAGCAACATCATTGTTCTAATAGACCTTTTTTACGATGGGCAGAAATGCAGCGATGTAGGAAAACGTAACTCCTGGTTAATTAGGTTTTCTGTGTCAAAATGTGTGTGTAAGTGTGTGTCGTATTCTCCGGCAGCTTCATAACTCTGCCCCATCACCAAATCTTCAACCAACAAGCTCCACAAAGGATAAACATTCTAACATGAAGAATTTATCCACAACTATCAAGAGAAGAAAGACCAAAACTTAAAGGAAACGACGACGACGCATTAGTGACGCACTGAACAAAACTAATGTTATGGTCATGAATAAAACAGAAGGAACTTGTTCAATTAAAAATCGATTTCATGATGTTGATATTAACATAGACAGTGAGATTTGTGCAGTTTAAATGCTAGACATGAAATCTGTGAACATCTGTAGCATTCAGACGGTTTCACTTGGTGGAAACCATGTGACCTCGCAGCATTAGGATTCGTTCACTTGACGGTAGGCTCATACTTTTTTTATTTAACCAATCGCTGCTGTTTGGTCGTGACGTATGTAATGCTCCAAATCCTGTAGGAAGAAGGACAATAACGTCTTTCCCCTTGATAAAATTCACCAAACATTCTCTTTGTTCCGGCTTTAAATCCTGGTATCTGGGGAATCGTTGCCAACACAGAATGTCTGTCTTCGTCTACATCACAGGTGTCAAACATAAGGCCCGGGGGCCAGATCCGGCCCTCCAAGACCTTTAATGTGGCCTTTGGGTTATTTTCTACTAAAATATTTGAATTATATTTTCTATTAAAATCTTGTTAATTTTCTGTGGTGTTTATCACAGCAGCGTCTCCAGCGTCTCTGTACGTGGCCCCTCCCACCAGAGCAGCACAAATGAAGACTTGTCTCTTTCCAAACGCTCTTAAAGGACGATCGTTTTGACTGTTGACCGTGACACCCTCATCAGAAAAATGTCCAACATGAGAAAAGTGGAGCCGAGTGCAGGATTTTACAACAAAAACTGACTTATTCCTGTTTGCATATAAGTATTGTTAAAACATTGTGCTGAAATTGAATTTTTCTTCAAGTTTCAGGTTGTTCATAATATTATAATACGAAAGAGTTCATCAATTAAAAAAAGATTTCTGTAATAGATTTGTGTTTCTCTGCACAAATATTTGAACTTATTGTTATTTTTGGGGTTTATATGACATGAGTTTTCTGATCCGGCCCCTTTGGGATCAAAGTCGGTTGGATACGACCCCCGGACCAAAATGAGTTTCACTCTCCTGATCTACATCCATCTCGACGCTTTGTTTACTGTTGTGCTGTTCCACAAAAAGGACACAGACAGACGCCACCAGTTTGACGTCATAACCTCACAGCTCGCAGTTGATTGGCCGGTGTGCGCCGTCTACAACTTCCGGGATTCTAGTGCATTCTGATTCCTGACCTAGTCGCTGGAGAGAAATAAAATTGAGCGGAGGCACTAGGTTTTTTATTTTAATTCTAGAATCAGTCTGAGTGAACAAGTTCCTTCTGTTTTATTCATGACCATAACATTAGTTTTGTTCAGTGTGTCATTAATGCGTTGTCGTCGTCGTTTCCTTTAAGTTTTGGTCTTTCTTCTCTTGATAGTTGTGGATAAATTCTTCATGTTAGAATGTTTATCCTTTGTGGAGTTTGTTGGTTGAAGATTTGGTGATGGAGCAAATTTATGAAGCTGCTGAAGAATACGACACACATTTACACACACATTTACACACAGAAAACCATTAACCGGAAGTGACGTTTACTCGACATTGCGGCACTTCCGGTTGTTGTGAAAAAGCTCTATAGTAAAATAACTGCTTTATGGGGACTCGATGTTTGGTCCTCACAAAGCAAAAGTGAGTGTGTGTATGAATTCCTGCCAACACACAGACACACACACTATTGCTTATTGTACTTTTAATAGCTCAGTGTCGGCAGGCGCTGGACGGACAGGGGCAGGTGGCGTCTCTCTGTTCTCTCAGTTACAGATGTGGATTTTACAGGTGAAAGTTTGAAGCACGTGTCAGACATTAACCTTCTCTCCTCGCCGTAAATCAACAGTTTTCGAGGAATCGTACGAGAATTTGATCTTAACTTTCATAAACGTGACCCGACTGTGTGTTCAGGTAAAAGGGAAACGTGTTCTAATCAAATATAGTTTTACTGATAACTGTTCTAAAGCTGATTTTTCTTAAACTCTTAACGCCGACTGTCACGAATATGCAAGATATAATGCTGGTTCATGCCTTTTAGGGCTGGGTATCATTAAGAAATTGCCGATACGATACATTAGGGATGTAACCATAACCGAAATATCGTGATATCGTATCGTCAGAGTTCACACAATAATATCGTGGACCATCAAAATATATATAATTACAAGTCTCTTTGCTTAAATGAAGAGTTATGGTGCAGAAATAGGTAAAAAAAAAGACAAAGGGAACTACATAGACCATGATCCTTTGCTCCATTTCAGTGCAGATGACAAGAAGAAATAACAGTTCTAACACTTTTAAGTCTTTGGATTAAGTCTTGTCAAGACATTTTAAAAGGAAAAAGTAGAATATTAACAGTTTTGCAAAAAATAAATGTAGATGTATCAAGTAAAATATCGTACTGAAAGGATTTGGATATTGTTACATTCCTAATTCATGAGCCTCCCCAACGAATATCGCAATAAATATCCTAGTCCTGGTTTAGTCCTGGTTTAGGTTCCTGGTTTAGTAGTCCTGTTTTAGAGTCCTGATAGTCCTGTTTAGTCCTGGTTTTAGTCCTGAGTACCTGGTGGAGTAGTCCTGGTTAGTCCTGAGTCCTGGTTTCCTAGATTTTCAAATTGATTTTTAGATACCTGGTTCAATAAAAAATAAAGGCTAAATCATGTCTGTGATGTGTGTCGCATAAACAAGTTTCCTTTCTCTAAACAAAGAACAAAACTGTAGCTGTAACAAAATAATTGAGTAAAATACACCAAAAATTACTCTTGGTGATATATCGATACAGCAGCCCACGATATCGAAACTGTGTCATCATATTAAACAATACAATATATAGGGCTGGTATCATTAAGAAGTTGCAATACATGTCTCGATACGGTGCACTTTCAACTTGATACGATATATTTCAAATCGATTTGATACAGTTCAGTAAAAAATCAAGGTTAAATCATGTCTGTGACACTAAAAGTCTTTGTTAAACCACTTCTTGTGCAAAGTTCATATGAAACACAAACATTTTACTCATCAAAACTGGGAAAATGTCAAATGTGTCGTTTAAACGAGTTTGCTTCCACTAAACAAACAACAAAACTGTAGCTGTAACAAAATAATTTAGTAAAATATACCAAAAAATACTCTTGGCGATATATTCATACAGCAGCTCACGATATCGATACCGTATCATCACATTAAACAATACGATATATTGATATTTTGATATTTTTACACACCCCTAGTGCATTGGCAGGACCTTCCTAGGAACCTTTAGCAAGCACTTGTTTCTAGTTGTCGCAAATTTGCAACATACCCACATTTTTGTTTATTTATTTGATGCTATAGTCAAATTAATCATCTCAATTAAATTCTTCAACCATCTACTTGAAGGCAAAAACACACACAAAACTTTTTGGTAACACTTTATAATAACTACACCTTATTTAGCCTTAATAAAGCATGAACAAAGACTTAATTAATAATGATTCACGCTTAGTAACTACTTAATTACTACCTGAATTAGCACTTAACTTCAACTTAATTCACCTGTGCTGTAAATAGTTACTCAATACTTCTTAATTACTCATGAACTAACCATTTGCATGTTTACAAATGCATATTTAAGTACAAATTTGAGCATTTATTAATGATTAGTAATCCATGAGAGAATGATTTACTAATAATGCAAATCAATGATCATTCAGGCAGCTGTTATCTGTTAGTTAAGTCTTTCTGAGAGCTTTTCTAAAGTGAAGACGAATTATGTTTATTAAGCATTTGTTAAGGTTGGTCAAATTCCAGAGAAACAATAATGCATTATTAGTAAATCATTCTCTCATGGTTTACTAATCATTAATAAATGCTCAAATTTGTACTTAAATATACATTTACAAATGCACACACAAAAAGGTTAGTTCATGAGTAATTAAGTAAGAAATATTTATGAGTAACTATTTACAGCACAGGCGAATTAAGTGCAAGTTAAGTGCTAATTCAGGCAGTAATTAAGTAGTTACTAAGCGTGAATCATTATTAATTAAGTCTTTGTTCATGTTTTATTAAGGCTAAATAAGGTGTAGTTATTATAAAGTGTTACCAACTTTTTTTTTTTTATGTACATCTATATAAATTCAAGCTTTAAGGGATTATTTACAAAAACACTGGACATGATGGACAAGTTGTTTATGTTTTATTATATTATTCAAATCTGGTGTTTTGGTTCAAGACGATTCTCCAATCAGAAAACAGAATGAGCCTCACATGACTCTCTCATTTGGCTTTCAACCATTTTCAACACTAATCTCCAGTTGGTTTAAAACTAAATGTACTCTCTCTGATCTGAAAGGTCACTAACTAAACAATAATCAGTGCTAGTGCAGCCGCTACACCTCAGGGCAGTTCTGATCTTCCACATGAGTCATGGTTCAGACGATCAGAGAGTCTCAGAGCCGAGGAGCAGCTGCAGGTTTAGGATCTTAAACCTCAAAGACGGCAGAGTCGAGGGAGAGGACTGTGGATCTGTGAAGGACAAAATCTCTTAAAGACATTTAATGATTGCTTGAGAGCACAGACTGTTTATATAAATGAACATAATTAACACACTTGCAGCCGCCTTCCAAATAGAAAGTTCACATGCTGCTCTTCTGGCTCCTTCTGACTTTGACTAACACTGGAATTTTGTAGCTCCATCTCTCTGTACCTGTTGCTGTGAGCCTCGTCATTTTGGTCTTAAAATGTTCGTATTACCCCATCCTACATGATCCTGGTGTTTTGAGGCGCTTTGAGTGCCTTGAAGGTGGAAAAGTATGGAGTAAGAAAGCTGTCAAAAATATTCGTGCGCGTAAAATAGAAATCCGTGCGTATTTGGTAAATCCGTGCATATTTGGCTGTAGTTGCGCATAAAATAAATATTTGTAAACTCTCAAATGAGTCCAGTCGTACATAAAATATATTGTGTGTATTTTATCCATCAGAATACGAATTGAAAAATTACGACGTCATGAATTACAATCACGAAATGAAAATTTACGATTACGCTTTCATCAGTACGAATACGAAATTCACAGACGGAACTTTACTGTCAAAAATACGTCATCACTTCACAGACATTATTCATCGAGCAGAAGAAACATCGATCAAGATCAAGACTGCGCAGCTCAAGTTTGTAGCAGAGTAAAAACAGAGTAAAAGCACAAGAAGCTACAACAGAACAACAAGTGGGTTAATTAAAATCTATTGTAAAAATGTCTTGAATTCGGGAACCGAACGCTGCTGTATAATATTGTGTAGAAACACCTCCTTTCAACGGGAAATTGCACCTATATGTTAGAAAACATAGTGGAGCCAGTTGGCAACATCAGACGTAACGTTATCCCAGGGCTAATTAACAAATATCAGGTTCTCTGTAGGTTTAGATTAAAACATTCACGGCTACAGCCACTCTGTTTTTACCCTCTGCTACAAACTTGAGCTGCACAGTCTTGATCTTGATCGATGTTTCTTCTGCTCGATGAAATAATGTCTGTGAAGTGATGACGTATTTTTGACAGTAAAGTTCCGTCTGTGAATTCGTATTCGTACTGATGAAAGCGTAATCGTAAATTTTCATTTCGTGATTGTAATTCATGACGTCGTAATTTTTCAATTCGTATTCTGATGGATAAAATACACACAATATATTTTATGTACGACTGGACTCATTTGAGAGTTTACAAATATTTATTTTATGCGCAACTACAGCCAAATATGCACGGATTTACCAAATACGCACGGATTTCTATTTTACGCGCACAAATATTTTTGACAGCTTTCTTACTCCATAGAAAAGCGCTACAGAAAAATATGACCATTTACCATTTACCATTTTTATTTCGCTATTTTGTCCGTGAAAAAAATCCTATTTATAATATAAAGCCTGACTCCAGATTTGCTCCTGTAACCATGAGGATCGTGAGCTTCATTTGACTGGATCACTTAGTCCACTTTTTACAGGCTGTGATTGGCTGACACTGTTTCCTGACTCTATGTTTGTGTCCTCAGGTTGAGAACCTCACAGAAGAGCAGAAAAATGGTGAGTGTTGCACTTCAGTCACTCATATTTGACATATGACTACAGCAGGAGCTACTTTTACAAAACAAAAATGACAGAGCTTCTAGAAACTGAGAAAATGAAATATATTAAGATATAAGAAAATGAAAATGAAGAATTAAGAATAAGAAAATGACAAATATTAGCCACGGCGAGCCTTAGATGAGGTACAGTTAGATACCTGTAAAACATAAACCATTATCCAGTTATAAATGATACATGTACAGTGGTAATGGGCTTTTTATTCATTAGATTTTCTTATTCAGCACAATACGTGTCATTCATAAATCCCTCGTGGAGCTGCTTGGACGGGGGTGGAGAGGCACCTGTAGCTCCCAAGTTTCAAGTTGGAGACCCCTGGACTTGAGTGAACTGTGTACCTGGGCTGTTCTCAGACTATGGGATGGTTCTCGTGGTGAATGATACCAGTAATTTTAATACAAGACCAAACGGTGCAGAGTTTCTACAGGAAATCTCTCTTTGTAGAAGTCTCTGTCAGCGTTCAGAACATCAGTGATCAGTGCTTTCCACAACTTTCAGAAACCAGAGCAGAGTTTGTTATGGTAATGGTAACAGCAACTAGCATGCTAACCATTGCACTTGATTGATGATGATTTTCAGACAATAAAAGGCTTTGTAATTGGATGCCGATGGACTTCTTTTGACCTCAAGAGCTGCTTATACAATATATCTGTCCTGGGGCAAGACACGTTTTGCTCAAATACATGGGGAAAATTGGGTACAAGGCCTGTAATTATTCAATATGTACATATATATTTACAGTATTTTCCGTTATTAATAAAAACAAAGTTGGAGCATCTTCAGTTCAGTATTTAGAAAAAGTTATCACAAAAATTCTAATTAATTCAAACTGCAAAAAATTGTCTGTAATACAATAAGCTGAAGGTGAACTGCATAACTTTTGTAATGGGAAATCTTCATAGAGACAATATGTTACTGCTCTGTCAGGAATGTCACACAGCATGGCTTTAAACACAAACAGGGGATGCAATCATGCCAAGTTAAGAAATGAATTACTATAATATAATACTGTATATATGTCAAATATAAAATCTCCACCAAAGGAAACAACAGACTGGTGTAAATCTGCTCACACTTATTATTTACATTAATAACACACAATTCAAGTGGCATCAGACTCCAACTCTGCTCCATTTGTTTTTCATTTAAAGTTTTAGTTGGTTCCACTTTTGGATCACACCTGGTTTAAGCCTTTATGTTCATCTTGGACTCCTGACACACGAGAAATTAAATTTGTGAACTGGACAAACTTTTTTTTGTGTAGTCGGTAGGGATGTAACAATAACCGAAATATCGTGATCTCGTATCGTCAAAGTTCTCACAATAATATCGTGGATCATCACAATATGTCGAAATGCTAGTTTCTTTGCTTAAAGGTTGTATGGAGGATTTTTTTTTGTTTCAAATTGTCAATGATAGATTATAGATGCAGTAGCCTTATAATTATGATGACCAAAAAAAAGAGAATAAAAATTCATCAACTCTGGACGTGGTGGGGCTAAACATTTGCCAATAGATAACGACACTGCCTCGTTATCTGTGAGCTGACAGGCTGTCAATCAAACTCCCTACGTTTCTAGTGTAACTGACTTGCCTGCGCCGCTGGTACGTGGTTTACGTACGACTGTCACGCAGTCCACAGACGCAAGACGCACAGACGCTGTTTACTCCACCAACGCAACGGTTCTTAGCGGCTTTTTTTGACCTATATCTTCCTCGCAGTTCGCACAAAGTTTGTTGCGATGGCGACAAGAATCCAGGAGCAGTTCGCCGCAAAAGAAAGTCCGTTTTTGAGGTCGCTGAAAGAAGAAGACAAGGGGAAAAGCAGCAAAGCCAAACTAAGGTGATTCTTGAAGATTCATTCCAGCGATGGCGCAACTGAAGCAGACGAAGGGTCTAAAGACTGAAGCACTGGTCCACAAATTACTCCTGGACAGGAAACTTCTGCTTATTATGAAAACGTACTTTATTTCCAAGAGTTAGACAAACGTTTTTCAGGACACGAAAGCGATATCCTATGTCTGAAAACGTCATTTTCAAGGCAAAGAAAGAGTCCGCTTGCTGCTGTGTGTTGTAGCTGGTTCATTTGCACGGAATCTCCGCGCAACCTTCTCTGCACCCCTTTCCTGCTCCTCTCCTCACTGCCCGATCCGCTCTTCCCCCTGCTCCTCACTTCTCGTCCGCGAACGAAATGTCCGCGCACCCGCTCCCCCCGCTCCTCACTTCTCCGTCTTGCCTAACCAACACTGTAGTTAGTTGTTTACAAGTCATGTGCAGCACCGGCTGTAAACAAACCTGTTTCTGGCGTAAGGAGGAGGAGGGAGGAGGCGTTTCTACGTAGGAGCTGTAGGGGAGGGGGGGTGGTTTCACACATGCGCAACATTTGAAAAAGGACAAACAGTCGCTGGATTTCTCGTTCCTTGGAAAATCCTCTATACAACCTTTAAATGAAGAGCTATGGTGGAGCAACAGCTAAACAAAAAGACAGAAGGAACTACATAGACCATGATCCTTTGCTCCATTTCAGTGCAGACGACAAGAAGAAATAACAGTTCTAACACTTTTAAGTCTTAGTTTTTTGGTTTAACTCTTGTCAAGGCATTTTAAGAGGAAAAAGTAGAATATTAACAGTTTTGTTAACCTCCACAATAAATATCGTACCGTGAGATGTATATTGAGAAAATATCGTACCGAGAGATTTGGATATGGTATCATGAGCTTTCCCACGATATCGCAATAAATATCGTACTGTGAGGTTCATACTGTGACGATATCGTATCGTGACACTTGGATATTGTTACACTCCTAGTATTCAGTGTAGAGAGAAGCAGCTTGGATGCGTCTTCGATACGTTTTCAACCTAAATAAACGTTTGTCCAGTTGACAGATGAATTTCTCCTTTGCCGTGGATTCTACCTGAACAACTGAGGGATTTCACACTTCTTGGACTTTTGTGTAAATCCCGTTGAGACCTGATCACTGTCTGAGGAAACGTGACGTAAAGATCTCTGTGTCTGAAACTCTTGTCTGTTTGTGTGTTTGTTTTTTGCGCGTCAGAGTTCAAGGCGGCGTTCGACATCTTCATCCAGGACGCGGAGGACGGCTGCATCAGCACCAAAGAGCTGGGGAAGGTCATGAGGATGCTGGGCCAGAACCCGACCGCCGAGGAGCTCCAGGAGATGATCGACGAGGTGGATGAGGACGGTACGAGAACACACACACACACACACACACACAAACACACACAAACACACACACAGGGACAACAGGTGCGCACAGAGACTTTACAAATGAACCTCAGAACGTCTCCTCTGACCTCAGAAGCTCCGGTCCGGTCGGTTCTCTGACTGGACCTGGCACGTCTCTGTGAATACCGGGCGCCACAGGGGGGCACTGAGACTCTTTACCCACAATGCCCCGTCTGAATGCGGGGTGAGCGACGGTCAGGGGGGCAGATAGTTTTCCCCAGGACAGTGGCCAGAGTGTGGAGTGAATAAATAATGACCAGTGTCTCTTTAGTATTGAGCCAAATACAAAAATAAACCGGAGCAGCTGTCACTTCAGATCAGCGTGGGCTCAGATATCTGCATTTTAAAGGTCTTGTATTACACAAAAATCACTCTTGTGAGCTCTAAGTCATGTTATAATGTGACCTCTTCAAAAACAGACCTGGAGTTGTGTTTTGTTTTGTTCACATGTTTGAGTAACTCTTTATTATTAGTTTGTTTACGTCTCCAAAGCTCAAAATGCTCTGTTCCTCCTTGTCATGACCTTTACCTTTTGGTCAGTAGAGACTGGTGATTCCAGAGTTGATTCAAAATTAAAAAAAAAAGGTGTTATGACTTTAGAAACGAAGAGCTTTTCAAATCACGGAGGCGATATCAGTTCAAAAATATAAAAATTTGATAAAAGAATCCATTCAGTGTCTACAGAAATGTAGAAAAACTCTGAAACTCTGTGAAAGTGTTAAAATGGACTAAGACTTGAGACTTGAACTTGGACAAGGTCAGTGACTTGGGATTTACTCGCACTTTTAAATCTGACTTCTTTCTATTCTGACTGTATTGATGATTCACTCTAAGACGGGAGTGGGCAAAAGTCTTAACTTGTGGGCCACAAAGGTTCTAAAATTTGACGGAAGGGCTAAACCAGGAGCAGATGGATGGAGTCTTTTGGTGTTCCACCTCGTAAGAGAAAAAATAAAACTACTAACTATCCCAAGTCCAAGGGTATTTACTATTTAACCCTTATAAAACACTGAAAATTATCATGATTATTATTATTATTAATGTTCAACAGGCCAGATTAAAAAGACTGAAGCGCCACATATCGCCGTAGTTTGCCCACCCCTGCACTAAGATCTTCTTGACATTTTAAAAATTATATATATATATATATATATATATATATATATAATATATATATATATATATATATATATATATACATTATACACACTCTGTAAATACTCATATATAAATATACAATGACTTTATAAGTACAATTTATCTTAAAATTCATATAAATTCCAAAAATCTAACCTATATTTGGTACTTTTCTGGTTTAAAGAGTTGCAGTGACTTGAAGCTCAAAGCAGACGACTTGGACTCGACTTGGACTTATGGGCCAGTGACTCGAGGCTTGACTTGGGCCTGGCTGTATTTGACTTGGGACTTGACTTGGACAAATCAAAGACTTGAGACTCGCAAAACAACGACTTGGTCCCATCTTTGGTGTGAATGAAACAAAACACAACTGCAGGTCTGTTTGTGATTATGAAACAACATTATAACACAGAACATAGTAAAAATCTGGGCCCTTTAGGAGTTTAATAGTTAAAGGTGAAGATCCTGTGACATTTTAAAACACGCTGATGTTCATTTGACCCAATAATAAAACTAAAATACAGAGTGGCATTTGAAACGTGCGTCTTTGCTATTTCCTTGCCCTTGTTACTATGAGCACGAGCACATGACCCGCTGAGTTATCGCTTTGGAATCAATATCGTCTAATAATATAAATAACCTTTCTCCTGAGGTCAGGTGACGCCTTCATCTTGGATTTCAATGAACTTAAGACACAGATCTGCCCGTGTGAGTCCAGGACAAACCTACTGTCACTATTATTCTATTATTCTTCTATTATATTGTCAGTGTTGGGAGTGTTACTTTTAAAATGTAATCCCCTACAGATTACAGATTACATACCCCAAAATGTAGTTTGTAACAGAATCCATTATGGTACTTAAGGTGAGTAACGTAATCTGAATACTTTGGATTACTTAATTAGCAGATCTTGTAGATCTTTTGTCTGCTAAAAGACAATGAAAAGGCCGAGTCTTTACTTAACAGTATTAAAAATATTATTGATAGAAGAGGAGGAGACATCGTCCACGCAGCACGATTTAGTCCTGTTAAATCCTGTTTTAGACCTGGTTTAGTCCTGGTTTAGTTCTGGTTTAGACCTGTTTTAGACCTGGTTTAGACCTGGTTTAGTCCTGGTTTAGACCTGGTTTAGACCTGGTTTAGACCTGGTTTAGACCTGGTTTAGTCCTGGTTTAGTCCTGGTTTAGTTTTAGACCTGGTTTAGACCTGGTTTAGTCCTGGTTTAGACCTGGTTTAGACCTGGTTTAGACCTGGTTTAGTAGTCCTGGTTTAGTCCTGGTTTTAGACCTGGTTTAGATCTAGTTTAGGCCTGATTTTAGTCCTGGTTTAGTCCTGGTTTAGACCTGGTTTAGATCTAGTTTAGACCTGGTTTTAGATCTTTTAGTTTTTAGACCTGGTTTAGATCTAGTTTAGACCTGGTTTAGTTTCTGGCAATGAGTGGAATTACCGAAAAAAAAGGGGGAGGGGGATATAGCCCAAAATGTGAAAACAGAAAATACCTCTGTGTAATCCATTTATTTCAGCAAAGTAACTGTAATCCAATTACCGCTCACTGAAACAGTAACTGTAACTGAATACAGTTACTCATAATTTGTACTCTGATTACATAACTCTGGTACATGTAATCTGTTACTCCCCAACACTGTATATTGTACTGGTGAAGAGCCTGAGAGACAAAAATCAGGGAAAAACATGAGGTAAACACATAAACTATATTTATAAATGGACATAGTTATCACATTATTCCAAATCCAAAGGGTAAATTCAGAAATGTTGAACCTGATCATTTCTATTGATACGCTGCAGTGACATCATGCTGGGGGTGTTCTACATGTATATTTTGGGAAAATGTTCAGCAGTTACCATGGTGACACAACGTACACATCAACAAACACAGACAAAAAAAAAACGTTTTAAGTGACCAGACGTCAGGTGTAAGACAGAGTGTCACTAATGTGTCGTCGTTGTTTCCTTTAAGTTTTTGTCTTTCTTACCTTAATAGTTGTGGATAAATTCTTCATTTGCAGTTTGTTGGTTGAAGATTTGGTGATGAGGCAGATTTATGAAGCAGCTGGAGAATACGACACATTTACACACACACATTTTGCCAAAGAAAAAACCATTAACCAAAAGTTCCACAGACCTACAGCGGGACACGTCAGGCTGTTCTGAAAAAGGTCTAGCGCAGGGGTGTCAAACATACGGCCCGGGGGCTGGATCCGGCCCTCCAAGACCTTTAATCTGGCCCTCGGCTGATTTTCTACAAAAATATTTGAATTATATTTTCTATTAAAATCTTGTTAATTTTCTGTGGTGTTTATCACAGCAGCGTCTCCAGCGTCTCTGTACGTGGCCCCTCCCACCAGAGCAGCACAAATGAAGACTTGTCTCTTTCCAAACGCTCTTAAAGGACGATCGTTTTGACTGTTGACCGTGACACCCTCATCAGAAAAATGTCCAACATGAGAAAAGTGGAGCCGAGTGCAGGATTTTACAACAAAAATGGACTTATTCCTGTTTGCAAACAAGTTCATGTTAAAACATTGTGTTGAAATTTTATTTTTCTTAAAGTTTCAGGTTGTTCATAATATTTTGTAAAAGAAAGAGTTCATTAATTTAAAAAGATTTCTGTAATAGATTTGTGTTTCTCTGCACAAATATTTGAACTTATTGTTATTTTTGAGGTTTATATGACATGAGTTTTCTGATCCGGCCCCAAGACCAAAATGAGTTTGACACTCCTGGTCTATGTGCAGTGTTGGGGAGTAACAGATTACATGTACCAGAGTTATGTAATCAGAGTACAAATTATGAGTAACAGTATACGGTTACAGTTACTGTTTCAGTGAGTGGTAATTGGATTACAGTTACTTTGTTGAAATAAATGGATTACACAGCGGTATTTTAATGTTTTCACATTTTGGGCTAAACCAGGACTAAACCAGGACTAAAACCAGGTCTAAAACAGGATTTAACAGGACTAAATCCTGCTGTGTGGACTGTGTCTCCTCGTTCTTCTATCAATAATATTTTTAATTTGGTTCAGTAAAGTTTGGTCTTTTTTATTTTCTTTTATTAGACAAAACATCTTAAGTGAAGATTTCCTCGTCTTTATTTCTCTACAGCAAATCAAATAATCCAAAGTAATCAGATTACATTACTCACTTTAAGTCATTTAATGGATTACGTTACAAACTACATTTTGGGGTGTTTAATCTGTAATCTGTAGGGGAAAACATTTTAAAAGTCACCTTCCCAACACTGTCTATATGGACCTGGCTCCAAATTCACTCCTATAAGTGCTAGCCTTTTGAGCTTCATTTGACTGGAGCCGACCGAAAGTTGCACTGTTCTCTAAATAAATCAAGGCTGACAATGTTCCATCTTAAATGTTAGAATCTAGGTGAGTAAACTTACACATACACGGGGAGAAACATTCAAAACACACACAGAAAAGCTTTTGCAGTGAACCTGAAACCTTCACAGCTCAAAAACGTCAGATGGAACTTTGAACACGGCTCAGTTTTGTTTCTTTTTCTTCCGCCGTCAGGGAGCGGGACGGTGGACTTCGATGAGTTCTTGGTGATGATGGTGCGCTGCATGAAAGAGGAGAACAAAGGAAAATCTGAAGAGGAGCTGAGCGAGCTGTTCCGAATGTTTGACAAGTGAGTTTCACCTGAGACGTGAGATGTTTTCAGATCCTAGAAGGTTTCAGACGAAGGACCGAGGATGAGGTTTAGTCCTGGTTTAGTCCTGGTTTAGTCCTGGTTTAGTCCTGGTTTAGTCTTGGTTTAGACCTGGTTTAGTCTTGGTTTAGTCCTGGTTTAGTCCTGGTTTAGGGTTTAGTCCTGGTTTAGACCTGGTTTAGTCCTGGTTTAGTCTTGTTTTAGACCTGGTTTAGTCCTGGTTTAGTCTTGGTTTAGACCTGGTTTAGTCCTGGTTTAGTCCTGGTTTAGATCTGGTTTAGTCCTGGTTTAGTCTTGGTTTAGTCCTGGTTTAGACCTGGTTTAGACCTGGTTTAGTCCTGGTTTAGTCCTGGTTTAGTCTGGTTTAGACCTGGTTTAGTCCTGGTTTAGTCTGGTTTAGTCCTGGTTTAGTGGTTTAGTCCTGGTTTAGACCTGGTTTAGTCTTGGTTTAGACCTGGTTTAGTCCTGGTTTAGTCCTGGTTTAGTCCTGGTTTAGTCTTGGTTTAATCTTGGTTTAGTCCTGGTTTATTCTTGGTTTAGACCTGGTTTAGTCCTGGTTTAGACCTGGTTTAGTCTTGGTTTAGTCCTGGTTTAATCCTGGTTAGTTTTCCTGGTTTAGTCTTGGTTTAGTCCTGGTTTAATCCTGGTTTAGTCCTGGTTTAGTCTGGTTTAGTCCTGGTTTAGTCCTGGTTTAATCCTGGTTTAAGTCCTGGTTTAGTCTGGTTTAGTCTGGTTTAGTCCTGGTTTAGTCCTGTTTAGTCGGTTTAGTCTTCCTGGTTTAGTCCTGGTTTAGTCCTGGTTTAGAGTCTTGGTTTAGTCCTGGTTTAGGTCCTGGTTTAGTCCTGGTTTAGTCCTTGGTTTAGTCCTGGTTTAGTCCTGGTTTAGTCCTGGTTTAGTCCTGGTTTAAGTCCTGGTTTAGTCCTGGTTTATCCTGGTTTAGTCCTGGTTTAGTCCTGGTTTAGTCCTGGTTTAGTCCTAAAGAAAGAGTGTGATTGACCTACAGATGTTTATATTGATTTGTAATAATCCTTCTGTGCTGTGCTGCGTGATGTCACATAGTACTTGACAGTGACGCCTGCAGTGATTGACAGATGATGTGCCGTGTGCCGTGCAGAAACGGGGACGGGTACATCGACCTGGACGAGCTGAAGAACATGCTGGAGTCCACCGGCGAGGCCATCACGGAAGACGACATCGAGGAGCTGATGAAGGACGGGGACCGCAACAACGACGGGAAAATCGACTACGACGGTAAAAACAAACAAAAAAAACATTTCAAACTACGAAGGAATAGACTCAGCGCTTTTCTGGCGGAGGGTCAGTACGGCGTTAAACCTTTCTATCGTCATGGAGACCAAACCGGACCAAGTTACAGGTCGGGTCTGTGGAGAGTCGAATGTTTGTTTTTCAAGGTATTTTTGAGACATAAAACCAACTGTAATTGAATAAATGTAAAGTAGCATTGTGGAACATTCCAGGCAGAGCAATGACCAGTGTTGGGAGTGTTACTTTTAAAATGTAATCCCCTACAGATTACAGATTACAGACCCCAAAATGTAGTTTGTAACGTAATCCATTAAATGACTTAAAGTGAGTAATGTAATCTGAATACTTTGGATTACTTGATTTACTGTAGAGAAACAAAGACGAGGAAATCGTTACATAAGATGTTTTGTCTGATAAAAGAAAATAAAAAGTCCAGACTTTACTGAACCAAATTAAAAATATTATTGATAGAAGATGAGGAAACACGTCCACATGATTTAGACCTGGTTTAGACCTGGTTTAGTCCTGGTTTTAGTCCTGGTTTAGACCTGGTTTTAGACCTGGTTAGTTTAGACCTCTGGTTTTAGTCCTGGTTTAGATCCTGGTTTTAGTCCTGGTTTAGACCTGGTTTAGTCCTGGTTTAGTCCTGACCCCTGGTTTAGATCCTGGTTTTAGACCTGGTTTAGATCTGGTTTTAGACCTGGTTTAGACCTGGTTTAGACCTCCAGCAATGAGTGGAATTACGGAAAATAAATAAATAAAAGGGAGATTTAGCCCAACATGTAAAAACAGGAAAATACCACCATGTAATCCATTTACTTCAACAAAGTAACTGTAATCCAATTACCACTCACTGAAACAGTAACTGTAACTGAATACAGTTACTCATAATTTGTACTCTGATTACT